ATGGCAAAATGTATCCTGTGGCATTTTCACCGCTCCCAAACAAAACCAAGCAGACTTATGTTAGATTATTTAGATTGTTGAAGAACATTGTTGGTGCAAGGACTGGTGTAGAACTCTCCCTAGATGTAATCAGGGCTGTCAGTGAGACCTTCCCTGGCAGCTCAGTTTTTTCCACTATGCCCAAGCTTTGTGGCGTGAAGTTGCTGACAGATCTTGTGCGAGAGTACATGAACAATCCTGCAGTACGGAGCCACGTCCGACGAGCTGCAGCTTTGCCACTATTGCCACTGGATCAAGTCCAAGATGCTTGGATTGAAGTTATGGAGCAGGGTCCAGATGGTCAACAGATTTCCACCTTCAATGACTATGTAACAAGTACCTGGCTAGAAGACGACGCCAGATTTCCCTGTAATATCTGGAACCAGCACGAAAACACTGGACATCGATCCAACAACCACCTGGAGGGTGTGGACTAAAGAAGAGAATGTCCCGGTCCGTCCCAGCATCTACCAGTTCATAAAAGAAATCAAGAAGATTGAGAAGCAGATAAACGTTCTAGAGGGCAGACAGGTCTTGGTGGTGCTGTTAAACGCCGTGCACGCATTGACAGAGACAGAGATGCCCGACATGACTGAAGCTACACCACGCAACTGGACGAAAAACTGTGATGCAGTTTCTAGATGCAGTTGGACACTTTGTGAAATTACAGTAATTGTTATGTGACTGATGAATTAGTGTATCATACATGTACTTGATTAACTTATGTGACTGATCATGGTGATGATGATGTCTGTTGAATATATGACCTTATTAAATTATAAATCATCAGTGCAAGAGTTTATTTTCTTTAGTTGTTGAAATTTATGAAGTATACCTCATTAGTGAAGTATACCTTTTCTAAAGGTATAATAGCATTTATGTGATGTGCAGTCAACCCTAAATTTGTTTTGATAAGGGCATAGGTGAAATGGGGTGAAGGCGAAGTGAGGTCAGGCCACTGTGCCCTCACTCCAAATGTTGTTACAGTGGATTATAGGGGATTAAGAGACACAGATCACTTACTCGCTTGGTATAGTCTGTATCATTAAAGTGAACCCTCCTCTGAGGGTGAACTCTGTTCAGTTAGTGTCTAACTGTTATTTGATGATAATAGGTGAGCAGTTTTCTCATGTACATGATTATAGGGATGATTAAAATTATATATTGCTGATTGATGTCTATCTGGGAAGTGTATAAAATGACATTTGCAAGTCACACTGCCATAACAAAATGGCTAATGCTCAAGTTAATGTTCGATTTGTTGCTAACTCCCAAGGTGGACAGAACTTAGTTTTCAACGGACACAGATTCCGAATTAAGAACAGAAGAAACACCACCATACACTGGCGTTGCTGCAGTCAGGACTGCCCGGCGACAGGAGAGACGTGTGGAACCATTTTGGGACCCTGGGTTCTAGGACAACCAATCACTTAGAAGTCTGGCACTCCAAGCTGAAGAAATCGGACCAAAGTCATCCAAACATCTTTAAATTTATTGACATTATCAAGAATGAACAATCACGTTCAGAGACATTATTGATGCAAATTCACCCCGGAGGAGGACTGACACCAAAGAGAAGGAAATATCTCCAAATTGACGACAAACATCCTGATAGAGAAGGACAACTTGTTGACAGACAGATTGACACCAATTGAATATGCTGATGCAAGATAACAGTGATTAATCAATCAACGTATTTTCTGTTAATCCTTTGATTACTAGGAACGATCCGTTGATTTACAAAAACGTAAATCAACAGATCATTCACCTCTTGCTGGGCTGCCACGTGCATATTACATAACACACATTTCACCTCACTTCAAACCTGGATTTAGATTGAATAATTACCCCAGACACAATAAATGCCAAATGGGAAACTTTGTCAGGTAATCAAAGTGGTGCTACGAACTATAACTATACGAACTATATTTATGTGTATATATAAATATATAATCAGGCAGTTTCACTTGTCTCTGCTATTTCTAGATCAGGTGGAAAAAAACAGTAGACGGGAATAAGCCACACATAAGAAGTCGGCCTCAGTATCATCAGGTAAACCTTAGGGAATCTCAACACCACAGTTGCCAAAGAGAAGCCTAATCTCAAACCGTACGTTTTACATCAAACAAACAGGTAACTGATTTCCAAGTGCACCTTTTGGATAGAGTTTGAGAATTTCATGAGGAAATAGCATTGATTGTATGGTCTAAACACGATTAGTTAGTGTTGCTGAAGACCAATTCTGCCACAGGATAGTCGCCATATGGTGAAACATTTACTCACAACCACACGTTTGTCTTTCTAATACTTGGTCTGGATGGATTAATGTGGATTTGTCTTTAAACGATCTCAGCAGGACCATTTGTGATCGAGTATCTTGGCAGAACTTGATCATAAAATGCATGTATAATATTACCCTTAACATAAATATGGTACACAATATGACAACTAATGGATAATTATTCAGTGACTCTCATTCTTATGTCATGGAAAACGATCTGAGGGTGTGACAGTTTATGTTTCTTGTGACACTAAGCCGACACGCCGTGTGACACCATAACTGTAATACTGATAGAAGCTGCGTTACAATCACCCTAAATCCCTCTAAAAGAACGACCGCGAACAGCATTTGTTTATAGCAAGAGATCGAAAATACGGAATGAAGTTGTGAATGACGTTTAATGCCGCAATCAACAATATTTCAGTTGCGTCTGGATCAGTTAAAACAGCGACTAAACCCACAAACAACGATGGGCGCCGATAATTCCCTGATATAGAGTTCGCCGTTACGTCGCCAACATCGTTTTCTTCTATATGTGAATCCGAGGCTATAAACATGTTGTAACAGCCAGTCCTTGGTGTTGCCTAGAACATCCCAATCTTTGACGCCGATGGTAAGTTGTTTGGGTCACCTTGCCCTCGGGCGGGCTGCCTGGTTTTAACGGTAAATGTTGAAATTCGCGTTGTTGTTCCTGTTCTATAATTTTCTATAACAGGAGCGGATTTGATTATATTGATTAGTGCAGTTGATGTAATGAGACATTTTGTCTAGGTGTCGTTTTGTAGGCCTTACGCGCCAAGGTCTCATTGGAACCCCACCCATTTGATGGTACTTGTTCAACAACCGCAATGGTACACCTTTTCATTTTCCAAACATACGGGCAACTTGGGATATTGACGTCCTCCCTTTATCGTGCCCTCAATTCGCCATGTTGTCTCTTCATTGAGACTATGTCTCGGGGGTATTTGTAAGCACATCTCATAGGCGCACAAACTTTGGCTTCTGTGTGCACGTGTTACAGTTCTGTTCATGCATGATGTAAAGTTTCATTGTGATTAGTTGCAGCGTTCACGTGCAAAGTCACGAAAGTGTAAGTGTGCACCTCGACGACAGCTACATTCAAATATTCTTATTCTTTTTCGGTAGTATACTTTATATACATTTACATGCAAATGACTTTATTATAGATTAAGTCATGAAAAACCATTCCTTTTATATCAGAATGGATTGGATTGGTGCGGTTATTGCTCGCCATCGTGCAGATGTCATTTGATGTAGAGGCAGTTGATCTACCATCTGTTTCAGTGCAGCTCCAGGAAATCAAATATCACTTTATTTGTTATGACCAAAGTGGTATTTTATTATTTGTTCTGCTTAATATGTTTAGGAATATTGTTTTTTAATGTTATTGTCAAAAATGATGTTGGTGTCTAAATCTGGACTTGAACCTGTCTGTTCCCAGTGCTCAAAGCCGGAGGTCCTGGGCAGTCTAGATCAAGGGAAGTAAGTTTGAATTTTTGGCCTTGTGCGTTGAGATTATTGGCTGAGACTACAACTTTGATATATGCTTAAATCCCCAAATAAGGTTAATCTGATTGCGGTTTGATTCTGATTCTGACTTGACTCGGAATCCGCTTGAACTCTCATACGGATTCTCGTTTATTTTTATTTTGCCAGACTTCGATTTGTTATACTGGAGCTCTAATTTAGAAGGGCTGCGGTGTAGCCTGGTGGTTAAAGGGTTCGCTGGTCACGCTGAAAACCCGGGTTCGATTCATCACATGGGCACAATGTGTGAAGCCCATTTCTGGTATTCCGATATTGCTGGAATATTGCTAAAACGGCGTAAAACCATACTCTCTAACTCTGCGTTAGACTAAGATTAATGTGTTAAATCTACGTCTGGGGAGATATTGTACTCTTTAGACGAAACACTCATCATAAATGCTCTTCTTTACATATATTTACCCCCACGAGCTTTTGGAATCTTTCAAACTTATGGTCAAATTGTGCAATAGCCATTGCTGTGTTTGGTCCCCGGTTGCGACTCTATTTCTTGAAATAGAACCAACGTAAAAAATATACACTCGGGGTTGAACATCGCGTTTAGGACTATTGCACTTATGTAGCGACTTGAATGCGTGTTAGTGAGATACCATGGCGCATTTTAACATGGATACCCCACTCACAGTATAATGACCCCTAGACAACCAGTTCTTGTTTTACACTCCCTTTCCCCGAGCGGCAGAAAGAGAAACAACAATTACCATCGTATCTTGGTATGATGCGGCAGAGACCGAAGTATCGATAATATTTTTATTTATTGTGCATTTACAAGAATTACACAACTGACGTGTTTGACCAGGGATGCACTCATGATCAAGGCCTTCAATAGTAAGGCTTTCAAACGGTTATACATGAAAAACATGTGTGGAACATTTCCAAGTTTGACGCATCAGGGAAAATATTTTTGGCCAAATCCTAATTTTGAATTCTATGAACGTTCACGTGTTGCTTTTTTTCAAGTAAACAACGGCCTTTTGCACGTGATTGGAAGGCATGATACAGGATTCGTTGCTTAATCACAGGTACAAAATTAGAATACAGTTTTTCACCAGTATTTATTGTATCATATCATTGCTCTTACCTACCATAATACTGAATAGCAATGGGGCGGAGCAGTAATGTAACATTATTTCAATGTAAATCGCATGCCGACCGATCATCCGCACAAATAGATCGTATGAGATGAATGCCAAATTTGATGAAAAGATTTTTTTTGTTATTACAAATTAAAACTACAATTTGAGATCGAGCAACATTTGTTATATAAGGGTCACGACTATCGCCAGATTGTGTCGTGTAATGTGAAAGTCACGTGAACAAGTGAAACTAGTGAATATGAATTCTCCGGATGCTGCCCGACACGAGATTCAGATGAGCAGGGTGAAGGAACATGTACAGTCACAAAGGTTCCCATCATGCACATACCACCTTCCACCATGTACTGAACACATAAATGTGGGGCATATGCCGCAGGGTAACCAGGCCTAGAACCTATCCACAGCAACCGGTTCTTGTCATGACTAATCGGATCAAAAGGTCAGGCTAACATTGCTGATGACGTGTCACTGCGTCTGCTTGCTTTCACCAATCGGTCGACCCGGCCCAGACTGACCGCAGTTTTTGTTTGTTTGCCGCACTCAGCAATATTCCAGTTATTACTCAGCTTGGATACTAGTATTGATTAATAACACTCACTCACAGTATCTACATCACAGATATCTAGGAGCTAGGTGCCACATTTTTCTCTCTTGACTGGCCAGCGATTCATATGTTTCCCAAATTCGTGAGTCACTTCATATGTATACACCTGGTCAGTACCTGAAACATAAATCATCTGAAACTGAAACATTTGCATAAATTGGTAAGCAGCAACTAGGGTGCCGTGGCCTTTTAAGGAAAGACATTATTGCCAGTTTGTAGAAAAGATTATAACATTGTGGGGTTTGTTTTCCATGTCTTAAGCTTACATAAGGAACTTTTATGTATCTGAGAATGAGTCTGTAAACGTCCTTTGATCTAATGAATAAGGATTACAAGAAGTTAAGCTAAAGACGTTGAGAAACAGTGATACTGTAAATTTACACTCACAACTGAAGTTTCGAACAGAAGAACACAATTATAAGGCACGTTTCCTCGCACTCACACAGGAAGTTGAGAATAACAAAAAACAGTAATAATGCAAGTGAACACACATTCATACATAAACTAGTTCATAACAAACGTGGTTACAGAAGAGACCGAACATTTGACATCAGCAACCGATCTATCATTTAAGTGTACGTCAGCGATCTCGGGGCCCTGGTCCCACATCAAGCCGACACACTATGGCATGTCTGAAAGACTGTTTGAAGCGATGTTTCACCCCGACACTCACTCCAGATGGAGGCAATTTGCTGTGTGTTGATATTGGACGTGACAGTCATGTTTTAGAAATATGCTAAGAGTTATTGTGCCAACACTTTCTGCAGTTTTCAAATTGCACTGTTGATCATCTCCCTGAACTATTTCCTTCATCTTACGTTGTTACTATTTCTGCTCATCTTGTTCAGTGAAGTACATTTTCACTTTACAATCTCGACGTAATAATGTATGCTAGACACATATACTACAATTAACAATGCACAATGAGGTGAAATAATGATTCATGTTTGTGCCAGGAACCAGGGACCGTTTCCACAAAGCAAGAATAGCACTAAGTTGAGACACTCGAATGTCTTGATGCTGACAGTTTGTTACGCTCCCAAAGATGAACTTTGGCTAAAGAGCTTAAGTCACTAATATTGATCGTTGTGTGTGTTGCATGATGTTATATATGAGAGGGTGCCAAGAACGCATACTCAGAGATAAAACACAACAATGGGTGCCTTTTTCTACAAGGAGAGACATTTCCAATAAATTGTCTCATCAAAGTAAAGCATGACTCTTCTGGAACGATCATGACTTTAAAGTGCTAATTGGGCTTCGCTGTACGAACCTCTCTATAATACATATATGCTAGTGTGTCAACAGATGTATTTCTACAGCACTAACCTGGATCGTAATATCTTCCTTTAAACGTTCTATTCATGTTCAGGTCTCGAGAGGTTGATGTGTGTGAGAGACTTTGTGTTGTGTCTTCAGAAGAGTCTTTGGGTTCTGAGGTAAGAGCAGCGGCGATTGGTGAATATCTTTTCGACGATTTGACAGGTGAATCTAGTCGATTCGTGCTCCCGAGTTTCTCTTGCATACCTTTGGATGATGTCGAAGGCGTGTAGCCAATCTGGGGTAATGCCACATCTTGTATATCTTCCATAGACACTCGTGGTTCTGGTGTTATTGGAATTTTCAAATTAATTCGATGAGATAAAGTTTCTGGCGATTTAGACGTTACTCCCTTAATCATCCCTTTAGATGTAGATGGTTTGGAGGCAATGCTTCCTAAATTATTTTGTTCTTCTGACTTTTGCGTCCCATTGTGACATGACTGGTCTTTGGTCGAGCCATGGAGCTCATCATTGCCATCACTTCTATCACTAGCTATATCTTTGACAGCGAATGAGTAAATTGATGATCGTCGAGATTCCGACACTTGGTCAAGCTCGGGACGTGGGTAGCCTCGGACATACGATTTGTCTTCCAGCATATACCCTCTTGATTCGGATTGATGCTGATACTTATCATTCCACCCAGCATCAAAGTTGTAGACACCTTCATGCGGACAGCCAACGTTACCATGATGGACACAATGCACTTGATCGTACAACATAGAGGGTACTGCTCTGGAGCTTGTCTTGGGGTAGCAGCTACATGGCGCAGGAGCAGAAAACAAAACTACCCGTGGGTCAATAACTGGTTCACCATATCCGTATGGTCTAAACTCCTTGTAATCAAAGATACTATCTTCCTTGAAGCTGCCATCTTCTATTTTTCCGCTGGAGCGAGTTTTCTGTGAATCTCTGTCTTCATGTAAGGCTTCATGGTCAGGAGCTGATGAATTCTTTGAACGTTCCTGTTTTGACTTCCTACTTTCTCGTTCTTCCTTGGATTTGCCACTTGTAAGTTGGTTACTGTCCCTTGGATTCTCAGTCACAGTTTTGCTAGAACCTCTGCTCGCTGGTTTATCCTGTTCGTGATTCTTCTTCCCTTCTTGCTCGCTGCTTTCCTCTTTCTGAGAACGACTTTCAGCTTGTGGGGTACCTGATTGTTCCCTCGGGGTTTGATTTATGGATGAACCTCTTTTATGAGCCTCTGGTGATTTTTTTCGGGATTGCCTACTAGCCTTCTGTGAACTGCTGTCCTCTCCTTGAGGCTTGTGTTCTGTTTTAGACCCATCTCCTTCTTTTGCTGTTTGCTTGGTGTCGGCAGCTTGACTTTTATTCGTTGGACTGGACGGCATGGCGATATCACGTCTGTAACAAATAATGTTTATTAATGTAGAGCCAATATGAATATAAAACCATTGGTCCGGTTTTGATAATATTCCCTCGTGTTTTTATAACAATTACCTTAGGTTACCATGTTGACAGTGAGACAACACTTCACAAAACTGTTGTACATTTATTTACGGTGCTGGAAATTAGTAGATATTGGTTACACTTATTCAGGGTATCCTACAGCCAACGAAAGAATCGGACATGAGTATTTGTTACCAAATATTGACTGCGAAAGTAAAATTAAGTCCAAAATGCCTCTCACAATCGGCAGGTGACCCGTGAAGATCCGGGGTAGAATAGGTCTTCAACAACCCATTGTTACCGTATACGGTGACTATGCTTGTCGTAAGAGGCGACTCACGGGATCGGGTGGTCAGGCTCGCTGACTTGGTTGACGCATGTCATCGTATCCTAATTGCTTGGATCGATGCTCATGATGTCAGTCACTGGATTGACTGGTCCAGACTCGATTATTTACATACCGCCACCATATAGCTGGAATATTGCTGAGTGCGGCGTTAAACTACAAACAAACAAACAAATACAATCGGCAGGTCCTATCGGTGAGGTCTCACACCGTGACAGTTACACGTGCAATAGATGATAAATCAATTATGATACTTTCATTGTGTTCAGGGCAGGGCACGTTACTCTCATGGTGAGCTCGGCATGACGACAGTCTGGAAATATTTTACTCAAAGTACTTAGTGGGTTGGTTTTAACGCTGCTTTGAGGAGCATTTCGAGACACAGAGGTTTCATAGTCGCAGCAACGAATGACGGACGCAACGTTTCAAAATACCTTAAGCACAATGTTCAGCAATGACAAAGTAGCCCATACATTATGATAGTGGTCACATTCAGTGTATGCAGTTAGTTAGGATATCAGTTGTACTTATGTGTGTAATTATTGTTGCATTGATAACAATAGCATCTGGCTGGTGAATTGTCAACAGTCGGGCTATGTATGTAAACGCTGCTTTATACAGTATTTCAGTTGTATCACAGCGCGTCAGCTTGATGTGGAGGATTTCGCAAAAGTGTTAAATGGAAAAAATGTAGCCATACACTAATAGTGAGTGAGAGAGTATTTCAGAGACATCACGCATATCAGAATGATGTGGGAGGAAAGCCCGAAGTGATGCAGATCTAAGACATTTACCACTTCTGTGCTGACGAACCTAGAAACATAATCAGGTCGAACCGGGATACGAACCCCAGATGATGGGTTTCTGGCATGCCCAAAGACGCAGCTCTGCACAGTGGGATGGGGTTTTCTTAAACTGAATGTCCACGAGGAAGTTAGGACTGCTTAAAAATGTCTTTTTCTGGATTGCAAAACTCGATCATTTTAAGTTCCTGATAAATACAATCAATTGAAGACAATGGTTAAAATACATGTCTAACAAAACGTTAATACGCATGACCCATTTAACAAACATCAAGGGGGCACGGGTGGCCCAGTCGTCTAAGGCGCCGCGATTCGCTGTGCAGAGTTGCGTCCCTTGGGCACGCCAGAAACCTATGATTGTGGGTTCGAATCCCGGTTCGCCCTGATTAAGTTTCTAGGTTTGTCAGCACCATACCAGTGCTCGTGGGTTTCACCGAAGTGGTAAACGTCTGAGACCTGCATCACTTCGGGCTTTCCTCCCACATTAAGCTGACACGCCGTGATATAACTGTAATGCTGTTAAAAGCGGCGTTAAACCCAACTCGCTCACACTAACAAACATCAATAATCAAAACATAAATCATAGTAACTAAAGGTCATATTCAGACGCTGACAAAAACATATTCAAGATGGTATGCGTCCGACGGCAATTAGAGTGTTTGGCATTAAACATTAGCATCAATATTGACAACGGGTGTGGTTTCCTACCCACAAAGGAAGTGTATCTAACGTCATTAATCACACAATACGATTACAGTTGTGGTAGGTTTGTCAGCACTGAGGCAAGGCTGACATGCTAAATGCTGGCTTTGTTCGAAGTCATTCTTTCACAGCCATACAGAGGCAAAGATATTTTAGTTGGATCGGCTTCGGCCTGCATAAGCAATTCTGTGGTGTCCTGCTTTTTTCACATCATTTTTCTCCCAAGGGGATTCCGAGTAATAATAGCCCCCAGCGTTCTATACATGTAGGACGGGCCACCAAGTAGACAGGGTGGTCAGGCTCGGTGACTTTGTTGACTGTGTGTCATCGTATCCGGATGCTGTGGGATGTTGCTCATACCATGAATCACTGGTTTATCCGAGAAGACTCGATTATATACGGACACGCTGTGATATTGCTGGAATAATGCAGAGTCGGCGTTTAACAACATCCAAAACATAACGCCAAAGTTACATCATTTCTCGGTGTCATTTTTGCATATAAGCGAGAAGACAAAGGAATAGGCGTCAACACCTTTCGTGGTGGCTTTTTACGGCTGTTGGTCCTTTCCGAACCTAGATTACGTACACTGCGAATGTTAGGGCTACAACTGGACGGGTGTTGCCATCGTGCCATGTGTTTACATTATCAATCAAGGTCTCAAAATGTGCAGGTCTTTTACTTTTGCTGGTGACAGAGAGCAGAATGTTCCTCGTATGTCTCGTCCCATACAAGGATTCCAACCACTACACTTCCTAACAGCACTACAGATGTCCTCCAGCACGATATAGACTGAGGATCAATATGAAGGGAACAGATATCCTGACCAATTGTATGTCGAGGGGTGAAGATCAGGGGTAGAATAGGTCTTGAGCAACCCATGCTTGTCATAAAAGGCGACTATGCTTGTCGTAAGAGACGACTAACGGGATCGGGTGGTCAGGTTTGCTTACTTGGCTGATGCATGTATCGATCCCAATTGTGTTGATCGATGGTCATGATATTAATCACTGGATTGTCCGGCCCAGACTCGATTATTGACAGACCGTCGTCATATATAGCTGGAATATTGCTGATTGCGTCGTTAAACAACAAACCAACCAACCAACCAATTTTATGTCAGTTTATAAATCCGTCGCGAATGCAATTTTTTTTTTATCTTCTCAAATTTAAAATCACAGAATTACAACATCGTTAACAAAACAATAACAACTCTCATCCCGAGCCTGGAAAACTCTTCTCCACACAAATTACAAATAATAGTTTCAACAGCTTAAACAATTAGTGTTGATTGCAGCATATAGGTAAATATATACAATCTTGACAATCACGTCTTATTTGTTGGAAACATAATCTGGTGAGATATGGACAACATTACACTGTAATAGAGCTGTATCTTAAGCACGGTCGTATCCATGAGAACCACATTGTCAGCAAGCATAACAGCCATTAGAAATAAGTTCTTGGTTGTTTATCAAACAGTTGGCCGATTGTATCTGGAGAAGTTAGATATTGTAGCTGTTTGAAGCTAGGGTCGCAAGCGATACATTATAAACGATGAAATACACGAATAAAAAGTAGGTACTGATCAATGATAGCATAATATAAGGGTTTCTATTCTATATATGACCTGTGAAGATCCGGGGTAGAATAGGTCTTCAGCAACCCATGCTTGCCCTTAAAGGTGACTATGCTTGTCGTAAGAGGCGACTAACGGGATCGGGTGTCAGGCTCGCTGACTTGGTTGATGCATATCATCGATCCCAAATGCGTGGATCGATGCTCATGATATCAATCACTGGGTTGTCTGGTCCAGACTCGAGTATTTACAGACCGCTGTCATATAGCTGGAATATTGCTGAGTGCGGCGTTAAACAACAAACAAACGAACTATTCTATATACTATTATCGGCTTTGCTGTTTATATCAAAATACATATCTCAAGATACCCTCAATTTAATTAAATTAGTGATTGATATTAACAACGACTGCTACTATCGCCGCCGTGGGTCGATTGAAACAACCAAGTCATTAATTCGTTCATAAAAAAGACTTGACCGACGTTGCCGTAGTAGAATTCTATTGTTGGAGTTAATTTTTTAAATAGAGCTTGTACATTTTATTAACATCCTCATAGAGGCTGTACATAATGTTGATATCTCATATAAGAAATAAGTGACGCGTAGTCGTCGTTTATAGTAAAATAAAACACTTCAGGGAGAATAATAATCGGCATTTACTTCTAAAATCAAAACGTGAAATCTAGTTTGCTCAATTACATACTCATTCCAAGTTTGTAGCCATAGAATTTATATGAAATTCCAAGCACAACTACGCATACTCGTTTGTTTGTTTTTCTGTTTGATGGTTGGTTGACAACTTCATCACGACGCCCTGATAATAATCGAGTCTGGATCTGGCAAACCACTAGTCGGGATACAATGGCCCACACACACTGTCAGCAAATTCACGAAATCTGACAACATCCCTTTTTAAGTGAGCTCTTCCGACAAGCACAGGCTTTAAGGTCAGGATAGACAAAGATGCTTCCAACAAGCACAAGTTTAGGCATGGTTAAAAAACGTCATGTCAGGTCTTACCTTTACAGAAGTGCAATAGCGTCGCTACTCAGTACTCTTCAAGTATATTACCCTACTGCCTCACTCCACCCGTGTTTAATGATGACGATATTGATTGCGTTGGTTCCTTGTCGGTCAGGGAGAAAGAGTCGGTCATTTATTAAGTAAGACGGCATTCAACCCCTTAGAGTCTTGTATGATAAAGACGCCACACGTTCTGCCGCTGTTACCGACTCTCCTCACGAACGCTGCTCCGCCACAACAGATCGAAGTGTTCACAGTGGCATGCATACCAAAAGAATTGTTAACTGCCGAACGGGCGGAAGCGGGCAGAGTTAATTAACACTAACACACGATAGAACTATAACTCAGATTTACGGGTAATAACTGGTCACATTCTCGATTTAAATCGCCAGTAATGTCGAACTTTCCTTCGAAATGACTTCCTTTTTTATGTCGATGTTGATAGATTATATAAAATGTTTAAGATGGGAATGTTTTCTTCTGTTCGACAACCTTAAAAGTATCGTTACTAATGCTATGCTATGTAAATATCACTACTGAAAGACATATACCACTATAAAAAGGTAATAACCACCCAATTCTTTCAAATCACTTCAGTGAATCCGTCATGTGATCATTAACTCATTTTGAGTAGTATGTCTTTCAATATTGATAGTTACATTACATTACATTATTGAAAGACTTGATTGCATGTTCAGAGTATGGACTAATATATAACGCGAAACAGTTCATATATTACCAACAATAGAAAGTTCTCTTGGTGAAAACAGCTGCAAATAGATCCGATACATGTTAAAAGTAAGCATTTTTATCTTATTGTTAATATATACATTATTAACTATTTCGACATACTCACCAGACGTTCTTGTAGCGAGCCTGTGAGGTGAACATGTCAATCGGTTTTACTCCTGGTAAAAGCATAAAGGTCACCACACACGAATGTGGGTAGATTACGAGTGGTGATTACAGGCAAGGCTGATTACATTGTTGATTATCCGAGTCGTTCGCCCTCCTTCAAGTCCCGGTACAGCTATGTTTGTTTTGTGAAAACGTGAGACAGACATACGTTTACAAGGTGCAACTTGATAAGAAACGATTGCCCCGTAACCCTTCGTGTGTGCGAAACGTGATAGAAATTATGAAAGGTTCTTTCCTTGTAAGAACAAATACAAAGTCAAACGTTTTAGAGTTGTTTGACAAATAGACATGTAACGTTTGTTTATTGTGTTGAAAGTTAAGTTACCTGTGTGATAACGTCCTTGGGGGTATATTAAATTACCCGCATACTGAGATGCCTGTAAATCAGACTGTTATAATAAATGCTTTATCTTGTGCACATAAATCCCCAATTGATGTCAAGTCTTTCTCATAGGTTCATAGGTAGAAGGGGGAGGGGGGGGGGGGGGGGGGGGGGGGGGGGGGGAGGAGGAGGAGGAGGCGGCTCGGGTGGCCCAGTTCCTTGGGGCACGCCAGAAACCTATGATTGTGGCTTCGAATCCCGGTTCGCCCCGATTATGTTTCTAGGTTTGTCAGCACCATACACGTGCTCGTGGGTTTCAGTGTGTCATAGCCAACTGTGATACTATATCCTTCGCTTCTGTGCATAGCCTAACCCAAACTGTACAATCAAGAAAGGAGACACGACTTCACAACAGTAATCGTGCGAGGGAGGAGACCGCCTCCGTGGTCTGGTGGTAGAGCGTCTGCCCGGAGAGTGGAAGGTCGGGGGTTCGTTCCCCGGCCACATAATACCAAATGACGTTAAAAGATGGTACTTGTTGTTACCCTGTCTGACAATAGGCTTTAATTGGCTTAAACAAGGACTAATCGGCATTAATCCGGACTAGTGCATGCAGCCACACATACACACACGTGCATACACGTCGTTATATTAGTGCAATAATCATAAAAACGACGTTAACCCTCAACGGGACAGAAGGTTTCTGATTAACGGGATCCGGAGTACGGGGGTTTCGCTGTAGTAATGTTTGTTTGTTTGTTGTTTTACGCCGCACTCAGCAATATCCAACTGAATGGCGGCCTGTAAATAATCGATGCTGGGCCAGACAATACAGTTATTAAGTCTTTGAATGGCATTCAGAAGTGACACACATATGGATGCCAACTTCTTTAATATGAGGAAATACAACGTTTCCACATTTTGTTATCTTATTACTTTTGTTGTCCTCACATGAACATATATATATATCACCTGATGGTGGAGTAAGCATACACTCCGAAACGGTATCTTTCTTCATAAATCCATAAATTCTCTTACCTTAATACAGTTATTGACATCATGGTATACGATGACATACATTAACGAAGACAGCTTCCTGGCCGATTATTGCATTAATTTATCTGTGAATGAATCTGTGGCGGAATCTGTGGTTTGACCCGACTATGGTCGCTGCTTCTCCGGATGACAGACAAACTGACTTTTAGGTGTGCCGAACTCAGGACAAACACCAAACTGCTGGCAGTGCCCAACCGCAGACTCGAGAGCTATTTACTACTACTTTGTACGCTGCCCTGTGATAACTATGGTCATGTACTTCAGGGTAAACAAAAAAGTGTGGAGATTAAATAAAACGAAATTGTACCAAATAGTTTACAGTTTTTCTTCCCATGTTCATATATATAACGGTAAAAGATTTTCGAAGCAGGTGTCATTTTAAAGGGACGTAACTCTGAATCACTTCTTACTAACATACTTCACTTTTCCATCACCATTGGGTCGGATTATTCAGTTGTGAGAGTGAAAACAAATCTGTCGTCAGTGAAAGAAAATCGGTCGTCAGTAAATCAAGTCGACGGGATGATAAGGAACGCGGAATTAAGTGTCAAAGAGCACTGCGTCAGAACATTCAGTACCCTGACGTGAGAGGGGCTTCCGGAGCGCACGTAATATCTCACTACGAAGCAGAACTGAATAACGAAACGGAACTCGGATGTTTCGAACATGTTGTTTATAAGTTTGTAAATGGCTTGCTCATTGTACATTTGATAGGCAATTAATAATACTATAGTCCGACTGTAATAATCGTAGTATGTTTCACTGTAATACTACAAATTGTCAAAAGATGTACAAACATGATAAATATGTCAACACAATATACTTATTTTACATCCAACCATGTCATAAGAATCATGGGGGAAAACGTGTCTTCACAATGATCTCCATTGGACAAAACACTGCCATAAAGTACATACCTACTGATTAATAACATAAGTATATTGCAGGTACAAGATAAGCAATACATTTCATACTCTACATGCATGAGGCTTACCTTTTGCAAAACAAAATAAACAAGACAAAACTTTGTATTGACTTTTTTTAAGGGGTTTCGATGTCAATATGCAATTGGCAAGGGCAAAACATTTGTTCCTAAAATCTTCACAACGGTAAGGGTAAATTTACTATTAAAAACCTTGAACACGTTATTGAAGAAAACATATTCTATGTGAGTAGAAATGAAAAAAAAAAATTATTGTGTAAAAACAACTTTCTATTTTTATTCTATAAATTCATGATATTAAGAGTAGACCTGTCCACACAAAAAACAATTTACATTTGTCCATAATGTGATAGATATGTCTACAAACATTTTTATGTACATAAATGTGAGGCTAGAACAATTCAATTCAATGTTCCACCTCTAATATTTTTGCCATTTTCTAACAAAAAATCTGTAATATTATTGAATCATAATGTGCATAAATTTGTATCAACACATCAAATATCAAAATTCATTAATTTGTATCGATATATCAATATTAAAAGTTTACATATACGATGACATCCCAAGCACAACCTTCAGTGGTAGTACATGTATTGACCCCAATACCAACACTAGACTGATCAATAGCAGGGAAATAATGAGTGAGTGAGTGAGTGAGTTGGGTTTAATGCTGCTTTTAACAGTATTCCAGTTATATCACACGTGTCAGCTTAATGTGGGAGGAAAGCCCGAAGTGATGCAGGTCTCAGACGTTTACCACTTCGGTGAAATCCACCAACACGGGAGGTGCTGACAAACCTAGAAACATAATCGGGGGGAACCAGGATTCAAACCAACAATCATAGGTTTCTGGCGTGCCAAAGTTACGCAACTCTGCACAACGAATCGCGGCGCCTTAGATGACTGGGCTAACAGCGCCCTCAGGGAAATTAATGAAACATGAATCTACTATATTACTTGAGAAAATGAAGATGGGTGAGCCGTATACACTAATCTAGAAGTTAGTAGACTACCATATCCACAGCTCTAAAACTGTACAACATTAAACATGTTAAATACTTAACCAAACATAGACAGAAGGTACTGCAGATCACCTGGATGAAACACTCTAAATTTTAATTTAAATTATAATTTTAAGTTTACTCTTAAACAGAAATAGGCTAACTAGAGGACTTGTAGTGTAGGTTACTGAGTATTAAGGCCACTCAGAGGCGGATCCAGAGGGGAGATTCTGGGCATGGACTTCCCCCTCTTTCACATCTGATGGCACTTCGTATGGCCATATCCTACCATGATTACATGTTGATTTGGTTGTTACAGTAACATTATTAATAATGGTTTACATTTAGTGTTTTTGGGGGTAGGCTTTAGGAGGGCACATCCCTCACCCCATCCCCCACCCCAAAGCATACACACACACATGGAAGTTACAAATGGCCCAAGTGGTACTCCCCCTTTTATAAAATCCTGGATCCGCTCCTGGCCACAATAATTACAGCACTTTAACAACCATCTTGATGTCAACCAGACCAGACATCAATAGTCCAAGAATTGCTCCATTTTCATTGTAGGAGCAATATGATTTCAGATACATCAAACAGGCATTTTACATTAACAGTGTGATATGCCTGAAAAGAAGCAATCTCATTAAAATCAGATCTTAGTTCTCGCTGCACCTAAACTTTGTTCATTAAAATCAGAATAGTAGTGAGTAAGTGAGTTGGGTTTTAACGCCACTTTGAACAGTATTCCAGTTGTGTGTAACAGCATGTCAGGTTGATGTGGGAGGAAAGACCGAAGTGATGCTGGACTTGGATGTTTACTACTTTGCTGAAACTCACAGACATGGGTATGGTGCTGACAGACATAGAAACATAATCGGGCAAACCGTTATTCGAACCCACGATCATAGGCTTTGGTGTGACCAAGGGACCAACTCTGCACAGTGAGTGAGTGAGTATGGTTTTACGCCGCCTTTAGCAATATTCCAGCAATATCACGGCGGGGCACACCAGAATTGGGCTTCACACATTGTACCCATGTCGGAAATCGAACCCGGGTTTTCAGCGTGACGAGCAAACGCTTTAACAACTAGGCTACCTGACCACCCCCCTGCACAGTGAATTGTGACACCTTAGATGACTGGGCCACCCACAACCCACAACTGAAAAAATTGTTGTGGAAAAGGATGTATTTACTGTCAGTATACTGCATATCACTGATATGACAACTGGCTGTTTAACATGATTAATGGGTAAACAGGAAACCTGAAAAATGTATTACCCTGCAAACATTACACCTTGTCATGACATCATTTATTTGACAAATTTCACTGACAGTCATTTCAGAAAAAAAAGTGAAAACGTGAAAGCTAACAGCAAGAGATGGATGGGCAGACGGAAGATGGAAACCATCACTAAGGTCACCTTGACCTTTGGTTCAACATACCAATGGCCAGACCTTTTTCAATATTTTTTTTTGGGGGGGGGGGGGGGGGTGTTTACAGTATCTTGGCCAAAAAATATATATAAATAAAAAAGTCAAATGTTTGCTTTGATTTAGTAGTTTTCTAAAGTTTTTATTATAGTATTTCAAATAATCTGTTCACATTGACAGTGACAGTAAATGAGGTATTTTCAAACATTTACTTACAAGCAACGGTAAATGTAAATACCTCCAATTAGTGTATGTTGTCACTGATACACAATCCATCATTTCAACACAGATTATACTAAAGTATATCAAGTACCATGACATCTCATTCAAGTCAATTAACATAACAATTTAATGCAAAATGATTAATTATGCAAAAGCATATCTCCAAACAAAACAACTCACAAGATCACAAGTAGCCATGGTAAATAACGTTAACAACTTATGAATAATCACACGTCACAGTTAGCCCAATTACTAGCTTACATATTAACCACTGCCTTGGCTAAAATAGTATTAACTTAATCATTAAAAAAGAAATAAAATATACATACACAGATACAATAGTTGACAAAACAAGCAGTAATCGTGACATGTATTCCGTAAAAATGAATTTTTTGACTGGCCATAATAATGTGACATAAATAAAGAACAAAACATGGTTACAAAGTCATCATGTGCATGTGTCAGTGTGTGAGACTTTTCAAAAAGATAAATACATATATAGCATAATGTATTAGTAACAAAATCACAATGAAATCACAATTTCATGAATTAAAAGATCTTTCAGCACCTAACACATGTTCATCAGTTGGTACTCACAGAGGACTACATGCAAAAGGTCACAATGCTATTAGCCAGATCCAAGTGTTGGTTTGTTTCTTGTTTAATGCCACACTCAGCAATATTCTAGCTATATGACGGTGGTCTGTAAATTATCGAGTCTGGACCAGACGATTCAATGATTGACATCATGACATCAACAATTGGGTTGATGATATGCATCAACCAAGTCAGCGAGCCTGACCACCCGATCCAGTTAGTCGCCTCTTATGACAAGCATAGTCGCCTTGTACAGCAAGGATGGGTTGCTGAAGACCTATTCTACCCCGGATCTTCACCATATGTGAAAGGCATCAACCATAGACACCTGGTACTGTCATGGTTATCTGGAGGATGTGAGCAAATAACACAGCTGTCACATTAATCTGTGGTCACAGGCATGTGTGCAGTTTGTTTATTCACTGTTGGGACCTCTGGGGAGATCCAGGGTAGAATAGGCCTTCAGCAACCCATGCTTGTCGAAAGAGGCAACTAACGGGATCGGGTGGTCAGGCTCACTGACATGGTTGATGCATGTCATCGCATCCCAATTCAAAACCGATGCTCATGATGTCAACTATCAGATTATTTACAGACCGCCGTCATATAGCTGGAATATTGCCGAGTGCTGCGTTAAACAAACAAACAAACAAACAAACAAACAAACAAACAAACAAACAGATGAAAAGCTGGTTTTATAGATCAACGACACAGATTATACCACAAATATTTCACTGCCAACATCAAACATTTGGAAGGTAACCAGACCAGAATTGAATATTATTTGCTGACGAGTGATAAGAATTAGAGCTAATTGTCATCCGTAACCATGGTAACCCTAAACAGATCTATGATATGTCTCGGACGACTTGGCCATGTTGCTTTCTAAGCACCTGTGTTAAAATCTAACATACTGTGACATTAACAACACACACTTCCTAACATCATGAACATGGTTAATGTCATCATGAAACTCACCATAATACAAAACATCAACACCAGAGAATAACCACTTCTGATCATCCAATGAAGCAGATTCCGTTGGGCACAAAGGGCATAAATAGCGGTGAAAATGATATGAATGGATCACTGAAAACAGTGATGACACCAGGTGTTCGTGAAAAGGGTATGAATGCTTTACCCTCACAGTAGCTATAACCTAAACAAAACATGTAAAACATTTGTGCAAATATGTGCAAAAACAGAAGTGTCCCCTTAACCACCATTTTCCTCCAACCTTCAGAGCTACAGATAAGTTGCCTATTTGCGTAAAATATGCCCCAAAATGTTAAAAACCCAATTACATTAAATCAACTTGCGTACAGATTCTACAGAAACACATGCATTAACAGAGCTACAGATAAGCTGCCTATTTGCGTAAAATACCCCCCTACCCCCAATGTTCAAAACACAATTACATTTAATCAACTTGCGTACAGAAACACATGCATTAAATTAAAAACACCACGCGTAAATACCCAATGCAGCTTTTTCAGCATGTGTACAACGGAGCTAATTCCAGGACCACAATTATGAGCTTTTCTGAGTCCAGCCTATACTTAGAACCCTTATATAGATCTAATACATTATTTTATTTTAAATCTCTCAATGTTTACTTATTTTTGGAGATACCCAATAGAGTGATGAATAGATGAGTGAACAAATATTGGTTACCCAATGAAAAATGAAATAACCAATTAAAACAGAAACCTTTGAGTAAAAACTCAATTGCTCAAAAAGTTATCTGGAGCTCTGAACCTTCCTAAAGTCTTAACATACCACCATGTACCTGCAGTTATAATAATATCACTTCCAGATCTTGACCTTCAGGAAGCCAACTTCCTTAGATCCAACATTCTCATGATTCTACAAGTAAAACTGACAATGAATGATACCACAACAAGATGACTTTGACTGTTGACAGTCAGGCCACTATTTTTCACGTTGTTGGACTGGTCAAGACAACCATGCCTCAGAAACTGATAATGACCACCATGTTTTACAAAAACTTGACCTTGATCGGTGTCTCATTTTCAGGGCCCCATTTTAAAGCAGGTATCTCCTTAACAGAAACAGGTAAACAAAAAGTCTCATGCCTGAAGTCTGGGTAGAGGTAAGCATGTCTCAGAGCCTTATAATGATATAACAATGTTATACAAAATTAAAAGCTGAATGCTGACCGTTATAAAATATGTTGGCAAAAATGTTGGCAAAAATGTAAACCCAAACTTACTTTGGAAGTTTTTTCTATCTTGTGACCTGTGACCTGTTCATGACTTGTGACAAAAAAGATAAAATATCTTTTAAGGTATTATCTCTAAGGTAGCTATCATTTGATATTTGGGGGTGGGGTCTGGGCTTTTATCCTCCAAATGAAGTCCCCTGAAGATGCCTGAAAACATTAATTGTGCTTCTGACTGTTAAAAAAGAAGCCATTGCTGCAAGCTGTTTTGGTAAAGATAATATTTACGCTTAATAGTTTTAATTAAAACAGTATGTGGTTGTGCAGGTGTAGTTGAAAAAGAACAAGTCTCCATATAAAATCCCAGATATTAGAAAAATCACAGGCAGCTGCAGCAGTGGCCAAATTCGAACAAAACCTGACGGAAGTCTCTTTCTTCTAGGTAACTACTGCTAAATAATGGATCGTAAGAGTAAATGATGTCAGTCACCCTGATCTACTAATATGACCAGTTGGACATATCTAAAAGCAGGTCTACAGCCACGGTTACTATGTTGCTACTTAATGAAGAATGAAATTACTTTCTCTGGATAACTTACAGTCCTGCTGGTTGGAGACTTATTCTGTTATGCTCTACCTCATGAATCTTGAGAGTAATGAGATCCAAGAATCTCTTTCCACACACATGACAAGCCCTTGAACCCCTGTCCCCATGGCACAGGTCAGTTTGTTCCTGGTCAGTCTTCCGTTGCCCATCACAACTGGTTGTCTGGTCAGTCTTCAGTCTCCAATGTCCGTCATTGGTTTCCTGACTATTTGTAACCAAACTGTGTGTCATTGTAATTTTCTGAGCAACCAACTGACCTTGAGCATGCAGGTATCTAAGTAAGTCATTGCCCATGGTGTCTGATGCAGCTGTATGTATCTTCTCATGTTCTGTCAAGGACAGCGAATCACCAAAGTCCTTATTACAGGTGTAACAGTAAAGTTTGACCACCTTACCACTGCATTTACCTTCCACAGTTATCCTGTTTCTTTGCTGCCGAAAATCAGTGATGGTTGGTTCAGGTGCATCATCAGCACCTCTTGCTTCAGTCTTCACATGGGTAGCTTCATGAGAGGTCAGTGAAGCAGCCTCACTAAACCTCTCACCACACTTAAAGCAGGGAAATAGCTTCATTGATGACAGATCAGGCGCATGTGCAATAGCTTCATGTGATCTCAGTGCATTAGTTGTGTTAAATATTTCAGGGCACTTTTGACATGGCAATGGTTTCAGGTCAACAGGGTCAATGACCTGCCCCTCTGTTTGTTTCTCCAGAGTGTTTCTGTCACAAAATTGGGGTTGGGCTGAAATAACAGGTTCGTGAGTTGTCATGTGGTTATTTAAAGTCTTTACATCCCCAAAGAGTTTACCACAATGTTGACAGATACAAGGCTTAATATCCACCGGTTCTTGTACTGGCTGACTAGTGGTAGATGTATGATTTTCATTGTGCATTTTAAATGTAACCTTGTCTTCAAAACGTTCCCCACAAATTTTGCAACAAAAGGTTTCAACACCTGAGTGATCAAGCATGTGTTTGTTTAGTGACTTAAGATAGACAAAACTTCGGTCACACACTCTACACTTGACTGGCTCTCCTCTTGGTTTGCCTCTGGCTTTGGCCACAGGCGATTCTGCTGTACTTTTTTTGAGTGGTTCAGGAGTCCTTTCTGGCAGTGGGTCTTCGGTCCTTGGCACTGGTTCTATAGTCTCCTCTGTCAGTGTCTCTGTGTTTTTTTCTGGTGCTGTATAATTTGGTGCACTCTCTTTAGAACTCAAAAGCATCTCCTTCAACTTGTTCTGTGGTGGATTCAAATGCTTTCTCGTGTGCTTACGTAATGATTTTAGTAAGACAAATGTCTTCTTACAGACAGTACACTTGAATGGTTTCAGTCTTTTCTGATGGGTTGTTTCTGTATTGGAATGCAATTTCATGTGAGTCTTTAGAAACTGCTTATTATCACTGACAAGTCCACAGGCTGGACATTTGAACATTTGCTCATTACAATTTGAGACAATTTGTGTTTTTTGCTTCCTGAAGAGTTTAGAGCGAAGTTTATTAACTATACCAATACTTATATTGCTACGTCTGCTGTTATGAACATCAGGGACAGGGAGATCGGAAACAAGATTAGGACCATCACTAGAAGACATTTCAGGGGCTTCATGCTCTGTCTTCACTTGAACACATTCACCTGGCATCTGAATGTTCTCATGAGAAGATTCTCCAGCTATTACAGGTGTCAAGGTAACACAGTTCAAATCACACTCCTCACCACTGCTGACTGAGCTAAGAGATGCAGCCTCAGGATGTAGAGACATGTGAGAACGAAAATGCTTATAGTAGGAAAATTCTTTGAGACAAAATGGACACTTTAAACATCTCTTTGTCTTCCCATTCTGGACCTTCTCAGGTATGCCCCCACCGGTATCAAGGTTGACCTGTCCCGATGTAAGCAGCAGGCTGTCATAGTGTATCTCCATATGCCTGTTCAATGTCTGCTGATGCTGGAAGGCTTTTCTGCACAAAGGACAGGAGTACGGCTTCTCCCCCGAGTGGGTTCGCATGTGGATCCTGAGACTACCCTGCAAAGGGAAAGCCTTGGAACAGATGGAACACACATGATCCCTCTTTCCAGAGTGTATGATCATGTGCTTCTTCAGAGAGGTTGGACGTGGAAAACACTTTCCACATTCTGGACAAGAGTGGAGTCTCTCTTTTGTATGCTGTTGGCGTTTGTGTGCACCCATGTTACTTGCGGATGTGAACCTTTTCTCACAAAAGGGGCATTTATATGGTTTTTCTCCCGTGTGGGACAACATATGTTTCGTCAAACTGACTGACACAGGGAACGATTTCTCACAGATTGAACACTTGTATGGCCGTTCTGTGCTATGTTGTGTAGCCATATGTCTTTTCAGTTCAGCCTTAAAAACATATTCCTTTTCACACTGATCGCATTTAAAGGTCTTAGCGTCATGATTTCTCATATGTCTCTTCAATGTAACAACTGATGCAAACTTCTTGTGACAAACACCACATTCATATGGTTTAACTTCTGCATGCTTTTCCATATGCATCTTCCAGCTATCTATCTGAGTGAAAGCCTTGCCACACACTTGGCAGTTGTAGGGCTTCACTCCAGTGTGACCACTCATGTGACGCTTCAGTTGATCATGCCGCAAGAAGCTCTCATCACAGACCGTACATCGATACGGGCGCTCCCCGGTATGAATACGCTTATGCATCTTAAGGGTGTTGGAGTGAGTGAATGATCGCTGACAGACATCGCATTTGAATGGCTTTTCACCAGTGTGAAGTCTCATATGAGTTGTCAGATTTACATAATATCCAAACATTTTGTGACATACTGAACACCTGAATGGCTTCTCCCCAGTGTGGGTGCGCATGTGTGTTGTCAGGTTGATCAACTGATTGAACCTCTTCTTACACACATCACACTCAAACTTCTTCCCCTCTTGCCCTTTCTTTTCTACATATTTATACGACATTGTTCCACTACTGTTCATCCATGTACTCCTCCCAAATGTGTTGGTTTTGGACTCCCATTTCCTCCCATCAGAATCATCAATGAAATCAGGATCAGAACCGGTGTTATCCATGTCCTCACTGTCTTGAGTGTAGTCCTTGTCAGAGTTGTCTCCCATGGCATCAGACTTCCCATCAGACTCACGGTCTTCTTCTGGACTCTCCATCCTTACCACTCAGTCACGCCTGTCTACACATTCACTTAAGGAAGAATTGTCCACAAACATTTATATTCCTTCATCAAGTCAACACGTGTGGGCTGATCATACAACATTCAGTGGCAGGATATTTTACATGTTTATCTCAATCTTTAAAATTGTTCAATTGTAAAATCTCCTCAATTAGCCATCATGGCTGTAAACATCTCTTCTTCTTGTGATTGGTAATTGTCCTCTTTGATTGTTGAAGAGGATGCATTAATTCCATGGCCTGAAACAAAAAACCATTGAATATTTACTTGTGCATATTTAATTTACTGGACACAAAACTGTGTATGTGATGTACTGGGTAAAACCAGTCACTTTGGACCTTCCTCCCACATCCAGCTAACACACAATGTCAAAAATAAAACAATGTTCAAAGGCCAACTTAATCATCATGAATACATGAGTTGGCTAATTTGATAGATCTTTCCAAGTTGTGAGAAAGGCAAAGTTTGAGGGCTAAGTTGCTTTGTTACTGCATTGCAAGATTCTAGATATATTTTTTACTCTTTTATTGCTTTTTTCAGGTCGGCTCAAAGTGCATATATCTAGCTGTATAAAGTAAACTTATATAGACCGCAAACTTTCGACTCAGTGTCACTCATTAGCAACATCACGTCTCCAACACAAGCAAAGCCATCCCCTTGTTATAGTTACACAAACAAATTGGTTTTCATCTGAATCATGTAATCAGGACAATAGTATTTTTTTAAGCTCATAAAAATATCAAAATGATATGCTACACTGACCTACTTCTCCCCAAAGTCACAGACCAGCATTTCCACTCCAGGAATGACATAACCAGCCTCCGGTAGACTAGTATTATCCATCTGACCTTTGAACAAGTCAGGTTGACTGCTAGGTTTGATCAAAGATAATGTCAAATGCATTTGGCTTCCTACAATATTGGCTTGACTTCTTGATTTTAACACTGGCTACCTGGAAGAAACTACTTGTAGCCATGTCCATCACTGCTTGTGGAAGCCAGTGGATGCTGAGTTCAGAAGATAAGAACACCACTGTAGTCACATCTAAACCTGGGCAGTGACATGCCTAAAACTATCTTTCTAGTATCTATGTTGTTTTTAAATTTGGTTTATGAACCAGCGACTCCAAACAAATTGAAAAGTAAAAAATATAAAATCAATAGCAGTGTTTTTTTTTTAAACAATTTTTTCTGTTGCTGGCAATGTTACTAAATCATGAACAGAACACAACAGTGAGTTGGGTTTTACACCACTTTTAGCAATATTCAAGCAATATCACGATGGGGATTTAAACCCCTGTCTTCGGCCTGATATGCAAACACCCCACCACCCTAAAAAATAAAACACTACAATTAAAACCTCTTGACAAGTCACCTTAAAAACTTTTAAAAAAGCCATAAAAATATGACAAATTGCAAGAGATGAAAAAATAGCTGCAATGGAAATTAAAATAAACATTTCTAAAACTCCTTAATATCAAATGGCACTAGTTCAGTATGCGCTTTATATATAGACATGCAATGTTTGGCAAGGAAATATTTAACAGTTTATTTGTTATACTACTTAAGTAAACCAATCCTATATTAAAACTTAAATCCAACTTGTTGTCATGGTAACAAACAATAAAAAATTCTAAAAGTGCTATATATCAAAAGGCACCAGTTCAGTATGTGCCTGGTAGACATGCAAAGTTTTGTAAGAAAGTATTTAACGTTTTTTGAGTTACACTCTGGAAACGAACAGCACCCCTGTAGAACCTAAGTCCAACTTATTGCCATGGAAATGTGAAAATTAAAATTTCTAAAAATCCTAAATAGCAAGAGGCACCAGTCCAGTATGTGTCTGGTAAACATGCACAGTTTTTGTTGGAAAGTATTGAATGGGTTTTGAGTTATGCTCCGGAAACAAACTCTACCCTATAGAACCTAAGTCCAACTTGTTGCCATGGAAACGTAAAACATAAAAATTTATAAAACTCCTAAATAGCAAAAAGCACCAGTTCAGTATGTGTCTGGTAAACATGCAAAGTTTTGTAAGAAATTATTTAACGTTTTTTGAGTTACGCTCCGGAAACGAACAGCACCCTTATAGAACCCAAGTCCAACTTGTTGCCATGGAAACGTAAAAAATAAAAATTTATAAAATTCCTAACTAGCAAAAGGCACCAGTTCAGCATGAGTCTGATAGACATGCAAAGTTTCGTAGAGAAATATTGAACGGTTTCTCGGTTATGCTCCGGAAACGATTTCGGGACGCACACACACGCATGGAAGGAACCCATTTCTATATCCCCCGCCCCAACGAAGTTGGCGGGGGATAACTACTCAGGTTATCTCCCTTACATGGATCACATTAAGTTTGATTGTGACTGTAACAACTGTAACAATCTCATTAAAATCAGACCTCAGTTCTCGCTACCGCTGAACAAAGATCTGAGGACATCCCATTAGGGGTCACGTCAGAACGACCTTTCATCCGACCAATCAGAGCATCGCTTACCAGATCATGAAAGTAACAGTCGGAATGTAATTTCTAATCATGTAACCTCGAAAACTTTACTTCGTACGATAGTTACAGGTTTAACGACTGAATCCATACAATCTAGACCATCTATTAGCCATTCCAGAATGTTCTTTTGTTCAGGTTTCAAATTTGTAATCGAGAATTTGTCAAAATATGTTTCAAAGCGTTAGTCGCCAATTTGAAATTAGTGCCGTAAAGCACAAGAAAGCTGCCTTCTGACTGGTCATTCCATTGGCCGGTCAAAGTTCGTGCAAGGTCGGTCTGACGTGACCCGTAATGGGATGTCCTCAGATCTTTGTTTAGCGGTAGCGAAAACAAAGATCTGATTTTAATTAGATTGACAACTGTAACAAATCCACTTCAATTCACACCAAAAATAGGACCAGGGACCTATTCTAATCAGGGTTCTACTTCATGCACATTATTTTAGAGCAAACAGTGTTACAAATTACTGCCTTAATTATTTCTGTTACATTAATTTGTACAAGGAAACTGGTTAAAGATCATTTATTACAATCAGTTCATTACAACCCATCAACCATCGGTCATATTCGGTTTCAAATGTTTTGTGCCCATCATTTTGTATACATTATTTCATGATGATCTCAAAATATAAAAAGGATATTTCTTGATGCATGTTATTCATAATTACTTGAATATATGGTATGATAATGATCAGTTTTAATGAATGGTAAAAAATTTACATACATTTTATATAAAAGAGTAAACCTACTTTTAAAAAGTTTGACATTATCCCTGAATAGTTTGAATAGTACCAAACAGTAGTAGCTGTCATGAATTTGGAATTGTTAATATGTCTACAGGACATAGCAGCATGTATGGATAAAGGGGGCTCAAGTTTAATTACTCTACAGAAAAAACAGTTTTAAGCTATAATTTCCCAAAACCTAGAATATATCACATTAACTACACATTATCATCGCATATCATATGAGTGAGTGATTGAGTATGGTTTAAGGCTTTGAACAGTAGTGCAGTTATCACAGCTTGATATGGGAGGAAAGCCAGGAGTGATGCAGGTCTTAGATGTTCACCCCTTTGGTGAGAATAATGTGCATAAAAAATATTGATATTTACATTAAATTTAAATAAAAGTAAATGGTATATGTGTATATGTATATAAATATATTATGATTACCTACACAATGTAAACAGACAATATGTAAATGATGAGTGCAAAACAAGTAAAATGGAGAACTGATGTTTACAAGCCCGAATACCTGGTTGTATGTAACTATATATTTATGATAACAGGAAAACAGGACAATAAGTATATAAAATGAGTACGAGTAAATTTGTCTTTGTTTTCAATCTAATATCTGACACAAAATTCATTGGGTATTTTTACAAACTCGGTCGGTCAGTTGTGACTGGTGACAGTGGTGCCCGGAAAGAAAGCTGTTGCACCATGGATTGATTGGTTTGATTGTCACTGTCAGTACCACACAGGGTTCGTATACCTGATAAAGTTATCGCCTTTACACAATGCCACAGAATCTCTTCGTAATGGTAGCAGATTTTTCATCTGTCAAACTGAAATCTTAATTTTACTTTTTTTAGGCCCACAGTCGACTGACCTGTACTATACCATATCGAGCCATGAATGCTGCACTGCACGGCTTGATAGTGAAGAACAACATTTACGTTAACAGTGCAGCAGATAAACAACACCACATACCTGTAAACTACACCAAACATAAACTGGCAAGTAAAATTTAGACAGACGATCACAAAGCCAGCACGGCACCACTTCTTCTATGTTTGGGTAAGGGAGGTCACTCTATTTAAACAATCGTCAATACATTCGGAACTTCTCGTGGTGTTCCGATGGTAACGAGCACCGCCACTCTCAAAGCGCGCACCCTTTCTCTGTCAAGTCTTGAGGGAAATCAACTTTTAACTGCTTCATCGTTTTTGGGGATCAAAAGCTATTGGTCTTTTTCACACATGTTATCCATGCTGGACGTATATGCGCACTTTATGGGCCAACATTTATTGCCTGAGACAGTAAATTCATGTCCATTCATAAGATAGATGTAAGTCTTTTTTTTTCTTCGTTTTCTTTTTTCAAAGAAAAAACACCACTGGCTAGAACAGTCCTCTCTTGGAATGTTTATTTTGTACGTTATTTATTTTACCTCATTATTATCTGAAAACAAAATACACTAACAATACGGTATTCATTCCACGGTATTCCGGTAAGCTGTGACCAAAGACAGGAATGAAATGTGTCAGGATTTCCTTAGTTAATTGATTTGAGTCAAGTCTCTCTTTAATTGAAAAGTAAAAACACGACAGTGATATTCGATACTTTCCGCTGTTTCACAAATTACGATACGAACAACACAGTTTGACGTCCATACGTTTATTACGAAAATATTCTCAAAATGACGTCAACATATATCTTGGTAAGGTTCAAGTGTTACTCAGCTGGTTGACCCACATACCTCTGTGTTTTTGTTCATATCTCATTTCAGCAACAGCTGTGTTGTGTTGTGGCTTTTTGTGGCAGTATGTCCTTTATCTAACCAAGGGTTAAGTGAGTGAGTGAGTGAGTGAGTGAGTGAGTGAGTGAGTGAGTGAGTAGTAAATCCAAAGACTCTCAAAACATCAAAATTATTTAATTAGATAATTAAATTACAAAATAATCAAACATATATATCATAAGTAAATATATCATATCAACAGTGTCCCGTATATATACAGGCTATAAACAGTGAGAAATATTAAGAATATGTTTACCACAAGTTGTTCAGGATATCTTTATTTTTGTTAATACTGTGATAGTAAAATGCCACGTCATGTCATCAATGTCATTATTATCTGCACCAAGAAAGAATGCTAACATTTCATGGTCTTCTCTCCTTTATATTTTACAATACTTTTCTTCATCACGATTACTAATTAGCGTGAAAAGAACACATTCACAGTTTATTAGATGACATGGTGATAATAATCATTGGAAAAAAGTATTACAGTTTGTACATTCCTTAGATATTTTACTTCTGGATCCAATCCTTACTCCACACTGTATTTCTTCTCTCACTCCTGATCATAACATTACAATGCTGTATACCACATGAGTAGACTAACATTTAGTCTGTGAAATCTTATATATATCTTATATATATATATATTCCACGGTCAGGATGCAGGACTAACCACATGATGAGTAAGCGTTGTATGCCTTTTAGAACAGATCAGACCCACATGATAATATATATTTTTCTTCCTTCTTCCTCGTGGGTAGATATTTCATCTAATACAATCTTTCTTCACTTTTTCTCCTGTGCAACAGAGAGGAGAAAATTAATAAACATACACACCTGACAAATTGAACAGTTTATTTTTTTCAAATATTGTTTTTGTTTTAAAATTTAAAATGAAATCCTAAGACCAATGTCACCGACCCTCTAAAATATAATGACCAGTCCCTAAGTGATGTTTAATTTTATAACTGTTTAATTTGAACTGTGTCCTTTTTTCATATGTCGCCAATTTCCATATCAGCAATAGAATCACTACTTCCCTTTCACCCCAACACCAGAACCATACTAACATTCCCAGAAATAAAGTTTTCGTATTAATAAATATATAAAATCCAAATGGAGCCTTGAATAATGCATAATTATTCTAGACTTGCCAGATCATTCTCAACAGATTTATAAACGTCGTACCTTATGCATGCATTTGAGTTCACTTTGCAGTTATTCAACAGAAATAGACGAAAACAGTCCATAAGACTTACAAAGATGATGTTTGTTTTTTTGTTTAACGCCACCCGAAGTAATATTCCAATCATATGACCGCGACCTGTAAATACGGACTTAGAGAATCCATGCAGCCCTTCGTACCCTATACCATGAACATGCATCAATCAAGTCAGCGAGCCTGGCTCATGCTTCACCTAGTTCCCCCGTACTTGTGAATTCATCATTTTACAAATAATTACCCTTGACGAGGTCAAATAATATGCGAGGGCCCGACCCGGCCACAAGATATAAGGGGCCTGCTACGGCACTGTGATTGATGATGTTATCATATCAATGAAAGGAGGCATTTTGCAGGTGCGATAGGGCCAAAGTAGACACGATCATATTACAGGGGATAAACTAACCACACCCGTTTTACACACCCTGGCGACTGATATGGCTTGTTAATGCATTTTGAATTGGCGATCGACCCCGGGTGGTAAGAAATTAGAGTTACGTCCCTTAGTGCGTCGTCTGCTCAGCAAGCTGTTTCGTGACAATGTCTTCCAAACAAGGTGACAATGTGTAGCATTCACTTGCACATAGGTATATGTTCTAATTTGATGTTATGGTAAAGAAAAGAAGGTTATTATGTGTCAGTTTTCATTTCCTACCCTACATCAACCCTCAACCCATAAACATCAGCCCTCTGGCATCTGGGCTGATATGAGGGTCTCCGGTTGATATGGGGTACGAGATATAAAAAAGGTGCTGTATAATAATCTCTAAGTAATGTGTAAAAAATACCGTGACAAATTGATGATTTACTTCAACCTATCCAAATAATTCAGTCTATTTCTAGAAGATTTAACGATGTACTACAATCTCTTTAAATAATTTCTTTTATTTCCAGATATATCTGCTGTTGAACTGCTCAATCAAATTTCACAATCCTGAATGATCCTTAAGTATGATTTGTATAAGAAAACTTGTCACCTCCTTTTTTTCTACCTTGCATTACTCTGAAGCTTTGCCTTCTTTGCTGTCAAATTTAATTGACAATGATGCATAGTGTACATGCGAGATTTTACGACCGCTTCACCTGTTTGCAACATGCTCGTGTTGCCGTACAAGATTTTACGAACGTCTTGAATAGTTTTGAGTTTAATTATCGAACACTGCCCAACATTTCTTTGATCAATTTCAGGGGTCACTTCTTATCCCCAATCCCCTCGGAACCGTTTCCAACTATACTGATGCTAATATTTAAACACGTAGCTACTCTTATTTGGGTAATGAAGTCTTAACCATTGTTCACAATCTACTTTGTTTACAAGTGACAGCCATGCTCTCCGTAAAAGGCGACGATGTTTGTTGTAAGAGGTGACTAACGGGCTTGTGTAGTCAGGCTCGCTGAATGGGTTGTTACATGTCATCGTATTCCAAATGCGTAGATCGATTCTTATGATGTCAATCATTGGAGTGTCTGGTCCAGACTCGATTAGATACAGACCGCCGTCATATAGCTGGAATATTGCTAAGTGCGGCGTTAAACAACAAACAAGCAAATACATGTGTCAGCATTTGGTAACATGAGTTTGAACTCTTAATCCTACAAAAAATGACTATCACCTGGCGTGATACCTTCACTATAACGACTAATCATTGATACCAGAGGGACTGTAAATATTTTTTATTTATATTGCATTAATAAAGTGCTCTCAGCAGTACCAAATACATTTCACTATTGTGAATAAAGAATGATCGGGGGTATGATCACCCGAGTCCTCCAAGGCGCCGCACTTCGGAGTGCAGAGCTGCGTTCCTTCATTAGGCGTACCAGAAACGTATGAGCGCTGGTTCGAATCCCGTAATAATCATGTAAAAATTAGCTCACGCTGTGAAATTGTTCATTAAATACAAATGTTGACGTCACTGTTGGCGTAATAGGTAATGGTGTCACAGCAGATGATGACACATCATTGTTGACGCGATGTTGACAGTAAACGTTTCTTTCGTTACAGGATGTACATTGGGTGTTCCATACATTTTTTCAACAGTCACGTCAGAATTCATGTTCATGTGATTCGAAAGCCCCGACACTGAGACACAAGAATGTAATAAGTTCTTTTTAACCAACGACGGCTTCATGACTGATGCATAATTACTGGCCAATGAAGAGTACACGGGTTGAGCTGTCGACATTATTTGACTTGCCTCAAAGATGGAATTAATTTAATAATTTATTCTGATCTGTTCACACACACAGGGAAATTTGCTTCAGGATTTTCCAAAAAATATTTTGTTCGGTGGACATGATGGATGTCCTGAATATTACAATCCCTTATACATACATCAGATAAACATTGTATGGTTACTGGCGACCAACACGCGGCAAGTTAACACGACCCAGTCCTAGGCGGACGAGTTAGGGTGTCTAAGTGTACAATCATCAAGATTCCTCAGTGTCGGGGAGAACTGTAAATAACGAACCCCTCCGTGACACACCCTGATAAGGACTCATACAGTCCATGTGAAGCCTCAGGGTCTCTGGGCTGCACCTCCATCACATGTTGTAGCAAGATGACCACCAACGGCCTGTTGACGGTGCTCCTGCTGACCATTGCTCCGTGCGCTGTGTACAGTAATTGCACAGTAGGTATAAATGAGTGTGACTGGTACCCCTGGGCATCATGGGGAGGTTGCACCGAGACCTGTGGCGGGAATGGACGCCAGACTAGGAACAGGGGCATCTGTTGCGAGGCTGATCTGGAGTATACCGCCTGCGTCACGAAATGTAACGTGCCCTATGCGGATGGCCAAATGAGTCAAGAATGTGGGGCAACATGCTTCAATCGTGGATCTTTCCATGACGGAATATGCCTGTGCGTCAATGGTTTTGAGGGAAAGTGTTGCGAAAATAGTAAGTGTTTAGCATGTCATGGTATACCCACACAGGTTATATACATTATGCACTTATGACCACATTTGATCCACTATCAAATAAACTTTCCCTTGAAGATTGGAGGTTAGAATTGTTCTTCAGCAACCAATGCTTATAAGAGTCGTCTTAAGGGACTGAGTGGTCAGACTCGCTGACTTGGTCATCGTATCCCAATGGCGTAGATCGGTGCTCATGATGTCAATCACTGGTTGTGTAGTCTAGACACGATTGTTTACAGACCGCCGCTATACAGCTGGAATATTGCTGGGAGCGGAGTGTAACAACAAACACACCAACATGATATGCATGTATCTGAAGTGATGAAACATTTGATGTTTCTGTTGCTTATAACGCTATCAAATATGACCGACAAGGGTTAAAAAATTGAGCGTAACTGTAATACTCTCCTGACGTACCCACAAGTGCATTAAGCTATTTTCTTGTTAACTGGGCAGTTTAAACAACGTTTCATGTTACGTGAAACGGCTGTATTGTGGCGAACAATATTGTCATCTTCTTATTCTGATAATGGATATAAAAAACCCAACATAGATTTGTCTTCTTGTTTTTCTTTTTTGTTTTGATGTCACCATAGATTTAGGACTGACAGTTCCTATCTCGGGGCAAATCATTACTAATTCATCTTTGTTCGCTAGCATTCAGTTGGGGGTGATCCTGTCGTGCAGAGTTGCGTCCCTATGATCGTGGCTTCGAATCCCGATTCGCCCCGATTATGTTTCTAGGTTTGCCAGCACCATTCCCGTTGTAGGTTTTGCCAAAGGGATGATCGTCTAGGACCTGCATCACTTTGGGCTTTCCTCCCGCATTAAGCTGTCACGCCGTGATACAACTGAAATAATATCCCTAGCAGCGTTTACTCTCAAGCTGCAAAGTTGGAAGTAAATTAAATTAAATGCCTTATTGTTGTACGTGTAAATACACCAAATAGTGCCTTGGAAATTTTATCATAGCATACTTGCGACGTCAAGTTGGCGGCTGGAAACATTAATGTGTTATTTTGACAATTATTATCGGACGAAGCAGGGCACTGATACTACCAAACTAATGTCGCTTGTGGGTGCCAGTGACTAAGCTTCTCCTGGCTTCGAATGAGATTCTTATCGATTATCATGCTTGATCTCATCTGACAGCACCACACCCTTGGTCTCATATTTCTCAAATGTGGTAAACGAATGAACGCAATGCCAAAATATTGATGTCCAAAATCACTTGCACAGTTTTCTTAAAATGGAAGTTTCATGATATCTGCTTTCGGCGTTGTCTAACGTACCTGTACCCTCTTTCCATATTTTTCTATCCACAGCAGCAGCAACAGCAACAACAACAACAACAACTCCAGTTCCGGAAAGAGGTAATTTGAATTGTTATATAAGATATTTTAGTAAGTGAAAGGAATGTTTTCCTTTTAAGGACTATTTAACATACATGTACAGTAACAAGTTTGATTGATTGATTGATTATTGCTCAACGCCGCACTCAGCAAATATTCCAGCTACATGACGCTGGTCTGTAATAATCCAGTATAGACCTTATAATCCAGTGATTGACATCATGAGCACCGATCTATGCAATCGAGATACATTGACATGTGTCAAGCAAGCCAGCGAGCCTGACCACCCGACCCAGTTAGCCGCCTTTAACGAGAAGCATGGGTTACTGAAGATCAATTCTAACCCTGATCTTCACAGGTCGCTGACACTTGAAAACATAGTAGACTGTGAACAATATGGTTAAGACTTCATTACCCCAAAAGGAGTAGCTACGTGGACGTTGAAGTATTTCCAAGAATGACACTAAATTGCTATTCAGTATATAATCGCGACAATTTTAATATCAGACTCTTTTCCTTCGTAGTGTGCCAGGATCCCCTGTGGCGTAATGGCATCATTAAAGACGACCATGTTGTTTCCTCATCGGATGCAAAAGGGAAAACATCAGCCATGGCCCAATCCAATTGCAAACGTAAGTGTGACAGAATAGACTGAATTTGGACACAAACTCATATGTAATAAAGTAAGACAATCCATACATGTTACAACTAGGTGTTCAGATACTAGTCGTGCGATTTGAATTTGATTTTTGACGTGTTTACATTGAAATTACTGAACTCCTTTTGACTGAAATATTGTTGATAAAATAGCTTATGCTTTGCGAACACGTGGTATCATCATTATTTTATTGTGAATCGTAAACACATGCTTATGATGTAGTCGGAATCTTACAAAGGACACAAGTTTTAGCAAAGAATTCCGATTTTGTCGCTTTCACTTACATGATCCTTCAATGACATTCTGATGGAATCTCTAGTATTGCTATTTAGGAGGCTTGCCATTGGGTATGTTGGGGTAGAGTTGTTTGGCTGGGGCATGTTCTGGAAAATACCTTTTCGGGGTTCCCCAAAAAGTTGTATTGGTCCTAGTCTCAGAGGAAAAAAAAGTATGACTTGACGCAATGACAGAAGAAAAAACACATATACAATAAAACAACAGCCTCCCCAGACCCCTTCACCACAACCAGAATAACAATGATATGATTCGTTCTTAGATGTTATTCACAAACCATCGCCATAGTTGTGGATACCATGTTGCATTTTCTAGAGAGGCCATGTGGGTGGTGTCCCGACCCAAAACTTCCCATCCACGATCAGTACATCGAGGTGACGTTTGACAAACCGTGGGTGATCCAGGCCATTGAGATACAGCCACCAGAGGGCACTGATCCAAACTCCGTTGTCCGCAACTACATGACCAACTACACCTTCCAATACCAGCCCATTGGAGGGACAAAGCTCGTCACATATGGAAGAGAGCACTCTGGACCAATAGTAAGTATAAGTATATTAAGTATCAACCTAGGGGTCGGGGCAGAGCTCATCACATATGGTAGAACACACTTTGGACCTATCGTAGGTGTATTTTAGTACATAAGGCTGACAAACTTCATCAAATTATTATGGGAGAGAGTACTCGTATGACAGAGACCAATCTAGACACAGGGGACAGAATACTATATAGTAAGTGTATTTGGGTATCAGTCTGGACCTTCATTTGTATTTCAGTACAAACTTAAAGGGGACAAATATCATCACATATGACAGAAAACAATCTGAACACACCTGAGATAGAGCACTCCATAGTAAATGTATTTTAGTACGAATCTAGGGGGAACAAAGTTTTCACTTTATTATCAGAGAGAGTACTCATACGACAGAGAGCAATCTGGCCGCATGGGACAGAATGCTATATAGTAAGTGTATCTGTGTACCAATCTGGACCTTCAGTAAGTGTATTTCAGTTTCACCTTAAGGGGGACAAATATCATCACATATGGCAGAGAACAATCTGAAATAATATGGGATAGAACACTCCATAATAAGTGTATTTAGTTAAAAACGGACCTATAGTAAGTGATTTTAGTACCAACCAAAAGGATTCGCACATGGGCAAGAGCCCGGCAGTCTTGTCGACTTTTTCAGACGCAGTTGCCGTTGATTGTGAGTTCGATTTGCTGATGATCCTTGGTTTCACCAAAGTGGTATTCGTCAAAGAACATGAGTTAAGCGGTGAAATATTAATTCTTTAGTGATAAATAAGGCCCATTATATGTTCAGATAGCAGTTGTATGATTCCAAAGATTGCATTTTACCACATATAATTGATAAAATATGTGATGTATCGAAAATCTGAAGGAAAACTTATGTACACTTATTTGAAACATCCATCCTCTTGAAACAGAGAAGTGTCTCACCCCCCGGACATTTACTACCACTAGGACCCTGCAAAACATTTTACAATCTGTTGACACGTTAACTTATATAAGAAGATGGAAACTGAATTATTTGCATTCGTTGTAGAAACCTGCTTCAATAACATTTAGAAGACTGTAAACTGTTTGTACGGGACGGATATGTCAACTGCCAACATGTCGCGAACGTTTACCACATTTGTAAAACCAACAATCATTGGTATGCTGGCCTCAAACCAAGTGTCATGAACAGAGATAATCTTGGATTCAATCCCATGATTAGCGGAACGCGTCACCACTAAGGAGACAGTCATGTACAGGGAAGCACTGCGCCTTCCATGACCTCGCCATCCGTGCATCCCTCCTTGTTATGTGATGAGCACACGGAACATTTATTGTGTTGACCCTCACATCTTAGGAGAAAGATGACTGCCTCCGTGGTCTAGTGGGTAGAGTGTCCGCCAAAAAGACGTTAAAAGATGGTACATGTTGTTACCCAGCCTGGCACTCGGCATTAAGGGGCTAAAACGAGGACTGGTCGGCTCGGAGTCAGGAACCTGTGTATGAGTGGGGTATTCATGTAAAACTGCGGCATGGTATCTCAGTGGGCTAGCACTATAAAATCGGCAGAAGTCGGGCCTCGTACAAGCAGCCCCACACACAAACACGTGTATGCACGTCGCTATATAAGTGCAATAATCTTGTACGCGACGTGAAACCCAATTTCACCTAACCTAGGAGAAATAGTTATTTAATGAGGTTTGAAATTCCATAGCCTTGAGATAAACATGCCTCACTATATTTGTAAGTTTCATTATAATGATGGTGACAATGAAATGCTTGTTATTAGTTGTGCTTTGTCCTTTGTTCTGCAGTACATGCTTGGTGTTCGTGGTAACAGCGTTACCGTTGTGTCAACACTGACTGAAATACAGCGACCGGTGTCAGAACGCATCCGGATATCAGTTGTCGACGCGGAACATCATGCCTGCTTCAGATTTGAAATATTCGGCTGTGAAAGTAAATATGAACTATGACGGGAACTAATAATAATAATAGAAATAATAATAAAAATAAAATAAAAATAATAATAATGATAATAGGAGGGTGTGTTTTGATTGACGTGGGTGCTCTCCATGATAGAATTGTATAGTTCACTTTTGTACTCATATATTTGTCTGATGAACCTCTTGTGAACCATGTCTAGGCTCATGATGAAAAAAGGCAGTCCACGGTTTTCGTAAACGAGCCGAGGCTGTGGGACACAATCTAAATGTCAATTGTGATTTTGTTGATGGTACAGAAATGAGTGTCAACCAAGCGAAGTGCCACTTCAAATCGGCCCAGAAAGTTGAGAAGATCAGCAACCAATAGTTTTGTATATGGCACACAAACATGCTTAAAACGAGAACCATTAAACTACCCAATGGAATAGTGTGTATTCGATTTTCGTTCGTATCTTCTTGGCGAGCATACAACCCAATCTGCCACGTGAGGCGCTAGAAGGTTAACAGTCACATTATCATCTCATACCATCGGGTACCCATTCACTGCACGTTGAAGATAGGCATATTACGATGGATATACGATATCCGAGTTAGGGACACATTTGTCACTATTCGCCCTTTTAGTGAGTGAGTGAGTGAGTGAGTATGGTTTTATGGTAAGTATGGTGAGTATGGTTTTACGCTCCGTTTGCAACATTACAATATCACGACGGGAAACACCAGACATGGGCTTCACACATTGTTCCCCTGCGGGGAAGCCACTATAAGTAATCTGCATGAAGACCAGTTCCCCTATTCATTAAGAAAGTTTACACACATGTGTGATGGTAGCTAAAAATAAAACAAACATGAATGGTTATACGATGTGATGTATTTTATACGGTAAACATAGTTGTGGAAAATGTTCACCTCAAGTTTGCAACCTAGTAAAGTTTCTAAAACTTTTTAAAGGTTTTTGTCAAATCCAATTTTAAGAGTTTAATTTCTTTTGCCCGGCAATTTGTGCAAAAATACATTCCCACTTCGTTCAACATACTGAATATGGAGTTGCTGACAATGGCTACTGTGTTTTATATAATGTGTTCAACAGAAATGGTATCTCTTTTTTATTTACATATTCTCGTTTCTTTCATGCTCATGTAATGAAACCTGTGCATAGTGTAGGCGACCACGGAAGTTTCACAACCCGTGTCTGATCATTTTGTCTTTTGCCAATAAATTATGTTTAAAAAAATACAAGCATGTAAAGTTACTTCCCCCAGACCACTGAGTTGCCTCCCGGATTGTCACGTGTGATCACGAATGTTGAAAACTGTGACTGTGACGTTAAATGTTTTATGGTGTATGGAAGTGAGATTAATTGCGTTTTGGCTTACGTGAACTTGTTTAATGTGTTTTTCTTTTTTTTAATTGATCTAACTATTCCATTACCGATGTTTCTGTTCATTTTGTAATGCTGAAGATTAAATCATTAATATAAAATGTGCTCTAGAGTTGAACCCGTCGAACATGCAACTATACTTTACATGCATTCTTTAATATGTCAAGCATTTTTGAAAATATATTTACACGAATCTAATTCTATTCATTCACTTCAGATCTCTGTGATTGCCAGAATGGCGGGTCCTGCATATCGAAAAACACGTGCTTGTGCCCTCCTCCATACTACGGTCCGAACTGCACATATATACGTATGTACTTTATTTGTCTGTTTAATAAATACAGTGTATTAACATGTGCAATAATTGAACATGGGCATATACATTTGCGTCAAAATCCGCCGTATCCTCCTCCTTATTTCTTATATCATTTCAAAATCTCTTTTTGACATCTAATGATCCCAAGAAGGAAGCTAAACAGTGTATTTTTGCAATTTCAGATTTGCCGGAGGTTGGAGGTAAGAGAAAAAAGTCAAATAGCCGTTTTTAGATTGAGAAGCTGCAAATCGCTTTGCAGAGTTTAGTTGAACATGATACAATCATCATATCCGAGTAAGTGAGTGAGTACGATTTTACGCCGCTTTTAGCAATATTCCAGCAATATCACGACGGGGGACACCAGAAATTGGCTACAGACATTGTACCCATGTCGGGAATCGAACCCGGGTCTTCGGCGTGACGAGCGAACGCTTTAACCACTAGGCTACCCGACCGCCCCATATCCGAGTTAGAATTACAGATATGGCCTGATTGTGATCGTTGGATTTCAGGACCATACTCGTGCTCGTGGTAACTGTTAAATACATTACATTGTGTTTATCGTGAGTATTAAGGTGACATGCTGTGATCATGATCATAATCTTTGTCACTGTAGGTTGCCTAAAGCCTCTTGGTATGTGGAACAACAAGATTAAAGACAACCAACTTGTAGTGTCCTCCTCGGCGCCTGAACAAGGGAAAGAAAAAGCCAGGTACATCTGCTGCGCGGGTAGGTACCAGCATCCTGGGAATTGCAAGATAGAATAAGTTCTCAGTAACATGTGATTGTCGAATAGTAGGGCTAGGTAACTGGTGGATTGCTTGCCGTCGCAGCCCGCAACCGTTAAAAGTTGCTTTTTACAACCACTGGCTTGTCTGGTCACGAATCGGATATTTCGATGCCGACGCTATATAGCTAGAGTATTGCTGAGTTCGATGATAAACAGGTGACACATAAACAACGTACCGGAACGATTCAAGTTGGTCTCAAGAGAAAAATACCATGTATTTAAATCGTGGTGTTTTGCTCGCAAATGAATCAATGACAAAACAGCAGTTCAAGTTATGGTAGTTTTCATTGGTAGTTTCTTCATGTGCTTAAGCTGAAGCAGTGAGAGGCCATGCGGTAAACTTCATAAAACATGCATGCATATACTTGAAATATACACGTACTTGTGCCTATAAGTAAACTGAGTAAGATTCAGAAATATTGTGGAATAAACCACTGGGTTTTGTGGAAAACAATCGTATTCAATGTGAACATTATCTATTTAAACATAAACGTCAAAGCCAGATAATACCAGTCTTGAGTATCTGCTGAAACAGACAAGGCAGCAGTGAAAGTACTATCAATGGGTCATGATAGTGTTTTTGTGTTCGCGAAGAAGGTAAGTATGTCATCAGTACTTGTATATGTGTTCCAGTAAAGATATCAGGGGGTGTATTAATCGCACATTTTAGCGAAAAAGAAGCGTTGTTTTCTGTTTACTCCTTCAGGTGAAATAAATGGCGCCTGGTGTCCCGCGGCCAACGATACCAAGCCTTATTACGAGGTGCGGCTTACCAAGCCTCACCTGGTGGCAATGCTCATGTTTGAGCAGCCCAATGTACAGCACTACTGGGAGCTACCTGACACCTACATGAAGACCTTCACCTTGCAGTATCACAACATCTACAATGGCGCCATGGAAACATATGTGGCGGTAGGATGTTTTTTTAATAGACAATTTAAGCCAAGTATTGATGACCAATAAGTGTTAATAGGTAAAGTATCATTTCCAATCAGCCTACATAATGTTCTCAGTTTGAGGTCAGTCCTATTAAGTGTGAGGCGTGATCCTCCTGTTTTTTTCATGGATAAAGATCAAGTTGCGAAACCTATCTGAACATATGGTTATGGGTTCCACGGATAATGAGGGATTAGTTCGTCTAATGATTGGTTTGTGCACCATGTCCGCACTCGTTCATTACACGGACGTCATCAATGCCTCAAGCATGCCTAACCTTCATATTTCCTGCCCATTAAGCTTTCAGTCGTGATGCATCTGAAACCGTTCCCTCACCTATCAAATACTAAGCCGGGGGCACGGGTGGCCCAGACGTGTGAGGCGCCGCGATTCGCTATGCAGAGTTGCGTCCTTGGGCACGCCAGAAACCTATTATTGTGGCTTCGAATAATCCCGGTTCGCCCCAATTATGTTTCTGGGTTTGTCAGCACCATACTGGTGCTCTCGGGTTTCACCGAAGTGATAAACGTCTGAGACTGGCATCACTTCGGGCTTTCCTCCCACATTAAGCTGACACGCCGTGATATAACTGGAATACTGTTAAAAGCGGCGTTAAACCGAACTCACTCACTCACTCAAATACTTATCCATTTCGATATGTATGTTTTCCAAATACTAAACGGCCACAAGGGGAGGTTTACTTTCATAATAACAATTTTAACATGTGACATACACAACGTTAGAAGACTTTAAGGAAACATCTTCGTATCTTTACAGTTATTCGCGTTTTGTCGATTCCATGTACCCCGTCCTCTAATAGAAACACTAATTCAAGGATATGTAAGATGTGTAATATACTGATGAGTTGTGCACTGATTTCCCAGGGCGCTGATGCCATCTACAACGCTACCGTCAGCTACTCTCCTATCCTGGACCCGTATTTACACACCGACGTTATACGTATTACCCCTGAAACATGGGAGAAGGCTCCATGCTTCAGACTGGAGATAATCGGCTGTGACCCAGATGGTAAATATTATTTTCTATATGAATGGAAGCAGCAAAACCCTTTCCATAATCATAAGAAGTCTCTGCTGAAAGTAAAGTGCGTTGTAGCATCATCCTGTAGCATCATCACTATCACTTAGTGATGATAAAAGTGCGAGGGGTTAGTGCCAGAACCACTTATCTCCATTTTCCCTAGATGTGAGAAATCCCACTTCAAAAGTTTGAAATGGTGCTAAAAAGCACCACTTGAAGTTTTATTAGCAATATTGTTTCCAGCCATTGTCATTAAGTGTGCCAAACAGTATATCTTGTTTTTTCAACATAACATTGATATTAACATGTAATAAAGATAACCTGAAATATATACGATGTTCTGGCATATCTCTTCCCCAAAGAAATTCAGCTAGACTTTCAGCCAAAGCGAAGTAAATAAAGGCAACTCCATCTGGCAGCATAAACATTATACAGGAAAGGGGAAATGTGAGGCCCAGATCCTTGTAAACAGAAGTGATACATTGTGGCCCTGATAAATGATAACATTCCTGCTTGCGTCAAATTACCCCAAACACAGGACATACGTTTATGCTTCAGAAACTTTCTCAATGAGCAAGCCAATTAATAGCAATAACAGCTTATCTCCCGACAGCTGGTAATGGCTCAACCACAGAGTCTGCGTGACACACAGGCTGATACCATTATCCTGGTGTAAGCTGACACTCTAAAGCATCGCTTGCTACAAGCACGTGGTTATAATCACTTACCAGCTTTAACGATTATCTGGCATTGCCTAAAAGAACTAAAGTAATGTCAGTGTTGCCTTTACCAAACATTGTTCATTTTATTAAATGCTGTACATTTACATTTACATTGCATTGTTTGTTTCAAAACTAAAAAGCTAATTAGTCTGCAAAATTAAGTTAATGTCAGGCTGTAATGCTAATGAGTGGAAATGTGTCACACAAAGTTAACGGAGAAACGTTATTCTATAAATTATAGATGAATAGAAGATCCTTTTAAAACCTTTGTTTATGTAAATATATATTCTTTTATAAAACAGTGGGTACATATTTAGCTTATTATCTATATACCAGTATATAATATGTAAAAAGTGATAGATAAATAGATAGACAGATCTGTACCCAACGTTCAATTTTCAAAATGGTGACATAACTCACAGTATTCACAAAAAATATAATACTTTTTCCAGCTGAGCTTCATTCAAAGTCAATTTATGAACATACAAATACTGCAATTCTTAAGATCAGTTATCTCAGATTGTATTCGGATATCCAACCTAGCTGTCATAAGACATTTTAATGTGGTTACAATCATTTTACGTTCCTAACAGTAAATGGAATTCTTAGCTTGAACATTCACACGATTGTTGTGGCTCACTAAAAAGGAAATAAATAAGGAAGTAATGCAGGAACTTGTCAGATATAATATAGCCAGGATCAGCATTTCAGCAATGTCAGACTTCCACAAATCTGAGTCGGGTATTCATGTTTAACTGCGGCATAGTATCTCAGCGGGCTGGCACAATAATATTGGCATTAGTCCGGACTAGTGCAATCACACGCACTTACGCACGCACGCGCGTACGCACACATAGCTATATTAGTGCGATAATGAACACAGCACCACAGTCACACATCATATTATGCAATGTCTGTGTCATAGTCTTCCTCCATAGCATCTGGTACCGGTAGACAATCAGGTCTGTTACCAGTTGGGAGAGCTTTGTAGTACTCATGATATTCGCTTGGAATAATGCCAGATCTACAAAGAGATAACAAGTCTTTCTTCTTCGCATGTGATATTTCTTGCTTCCCAGTGTATCTACAAGTAAGGGAGTTGGTTGTGTTCAGAGGTCTACCTCGTCTACTGCCTGCTGTAACCTTGATTTCTCTGAACTGCTCATCATTGTGTTCAGTTTTGAAGTAAATGCTGTCAGGGCTAGTCTTCATAAACCGCAGCCAGCGAACATTTAGCCAGTTAACTCTACCACCATCCGTGTCCACTTTAGTATTTTTCAGTCTTTGATGTGCCAATTTCTTGAAGTCCATTACATCCGTGTGTTTGATTGGAACAACGAGATAGGGGTCCTTGCTTCTTGCCATTCTGATAACAGTATCCCACTGGCTGGGAACAAAAATACTTGTCTTCTTTTTGGCGAATTCAATACTGGAGTGAATTGCATCGCACTCCATTTGGGTGTGTCCTGGCTCCAAGAATTTATGGTCAATGACATCAATGTGGTCAGTGGTAGTGACAGCATGAAGTAGGGAAGCAGCAACATATTGGTTCCTATTCTGCCCTGTGCATGTATCTGAATACATGATAACATGGTTGATGTTAGGAGGCATTGCTTTCAACTGTATTTGTAAACATGATGCAATTTCGCATGAACCTCTCTGGGCATCAACCTCTGACCACAGAAAACATGTACCGCTCTTGTGAACAGCATCATGCACTGTGAAATTATAACAATTCAGTTTTCTCATATAGAAAATTTCGCTAACTAGCGAACATGGCGTGTACAATACTGCCTCAAGGTCAAATGTTCCAACAAAGACAGAGGATTCTGTCAAGGCAAGTGCTTTGTCCTTAATCTTTGCCTCTCGAGCTCTGATTTTTCTGGCTTGGTGTTCATTGAAATCCTTTGTTAATTGTTCTGTCAGGCAACCAGTGTCTCTTTCTCTGTAATATTGCTGACAAAGCGAACACTGGTCCTTCTTTGGTACATGGAAAGAAAAATTATATTCTTTATTGAAGACGTTTCTGTAGAGTGATGAGGACACTGGTTCTTTGTTGTCTGCAGCACACCTTTCCTTATAAAGTTCATACATCTTTTTAATATTTAATTCTGGTCCTAAAAATTGCCTGTTTGTATCTTTTCTTGTGTAGTGGGCATCAATCTTAGGAAATGACTCAATGTGTTCCCTTACTTTTGTCAAGCGATCACTGGCAGTTTTATTGTGTGGCTTATGTCTACCGCGACGTTCTGTGCTCCCAAAGGTTCCCTGGCTCTTGTGCTGTAAGGCATGGCTGATGTATGACTCCCCAATGTCAAGAGTCTTCATGAAAAACTTCTTGCAAACAAGATGTCTTGTTCCTTCCCACTGTAGATTAAATGCCCGATAGACTTGGCGTTTCTTTTCCACCTTTTTTTCACTGTCATCCAGGTATGTACGGGTTTTCTTTTCATCAGTGTTGGAACAAACAAAATCCTTTTGCCTTTCATATGATGTCAAGCTTCTAAATGCTTTAAATATACTGTGTCGAGCTTCTTCGGGGATCTTCTGGGTGCACTTATATCTACATTTTGAGCAGTCGACTGCTTTAACCGATTTTCCTTTCATGGTCTTCCCTTGCTGGTTCACATATTCCATTCCACCTAATCTCAGGTGTTTCCTTTGATTTTTTAACCATGTCTCGGGCGTCGCACGTCTCTTTCTAAACAGCACCTTTCTAGGAGGTGTATGGAAGGCTGCCGACTTTCTTGGAGTTGCAGATCGAGATGGGTTCTGTTTGTTTGGGGTTGATGCTGTATTAAATGATGGCACTGTGTCGGCACCATGCTGTGAAGATACTGGAACTGGACTTGAAGTATTTGAACTGATCACAGGGCCTTCTGGCATTACATGGTTGCGTTCATTTACAGCAGTACAAGAAACATCAGAGATGCTGATGGACTGGAGACAACTTGCAGCTGATGTGGACGTTCCAGGACAGGTAGCTCTAGAAGCACATGCTTCTGTTGTTTCATGTTGAGTACTTGAGTACTGAGAAGATTTTGTGATGTTATTTTCTATCATTGTGTTTGACAAATGGTTAGCCAGTGGTGTGCATGCATCATAATGATCTTCAATGCCTTTTATGGATGTAAATGCGAGGATTATTCTTCTCTCAGTGCATTGTTGACGAATTGTAGGTTGGACATCAATTACAGGAGTTGATGCCTTGCTGGAGAAAATACGGACACCACGACCTGACCAGTTAGCAAGTGCTAACGGCAGGAAATCAGCAACCTTATTGGTGAAATATCCATTCCTGCGAAGATGTTCCACTTCCAGTGAATAACTTTGCCATGTTTCCAGGTTGTTTTCCTCCACTTCAGCATATAAATCGGAATAAGTGATGATATTATCATCAAGATGATCACACAGTTGTTTCCTCAGTTCACATTCACTCACATTAAGTTGAAGTGCAGAAGCCTTAAAAAAGCAATTTCCATCAGCCGGTACCTTCAGTAACTTGTATCCATTACAATGCAGAAGTTGTTCTAATCTCTCCGTGTGAAACTTTTTCATTTTAGATGCATACATGTAATTGGTATGACTTTCATGTAATGTCTTCAGAACAACAGTTTCCTCCAATTCCCCACTTGACCTTTCATGAAATTTGCTATGAACAATATTCTTCTGATTTGGTATTGTCAATTCTGTTTCCGATTCAGTGGTGTCAGACGAGCATAAATCTTCTTCATTCGGAAGGTACTCTTCTGATGATGTTTCGATGCTACTTTCAACATGTGTATGTCTATATTTCCCCAAATAAATTAAAGGTTCGTCATCAGAGCTGTCAAGTTCATTTTCATGTCCTCCCTCACTGGTATTACTGGGACGTGGCTCTATGTAGTCTTGAGGGGCTTTCATATGCGTTGCCGACAAAGGATCTGTGTTGTCAGTAGTTTGTACCTGATTAGCATCCATGTTGGTTGCCGTCAATGGATCTGCGCCGTCAGTGGTTGGTAGCTGATCAGTTTCCATGTTGGTTGCCGTCAATGGATCTGCGTTGTCAGTGGTTGGTAATTGATTAGCTTCCATGCTGGTTGCCGCCAATGGATCTGGGTTGTCAGTGGTTGGTAATTGATTAGCTTCCATGCTGGTTGCCGCCAATTGATCTGGGTTGTCTGTGGTTGGTAACTGATTAGCTTCCATGTTGGTTGCCGCCAATGGATCTGGGTCGTCAGTGGTTGGTTGCGGATTTGGTTCCATGCTCGTTGCCGTCAATGGATCTGTGTTGTCAGTTGTTGGTAGCTGATTAGCATCCATGCTCGTTGCCGTCAATGGATCTGGGTTGTCAGTGGTTGGTAGCGGATTCGGTTCCATGTTGGTTGCCGGCAATGGATCTGCGTTGTCAGTGGTTGGTAGCTGATTAGCATCCATGTTGGTTGCCGTCAATGGTTCTGCGTTGTCACTGGTTGGTAGCGGATTCGGTTCCATGTTGGTTGCCGTCAATGGAACTGGGTTGTCAGTGGTTGGTAGCTGATTAGCATCCATGTTGGTTGCCGTCAATGGATCTGCGTTGTCACTGGTTGGTAGCGGATTCGGTTCCATGTTGGTTGCCGTCAATGGAACTGGGTTGTCAGTGGTTGGTAGCTGATTAGCATCCATGTTGGTTGCCGTCAATGGAACTGGGTTGTCAGTGGTTGGTAGCTGATTAGCATCCATGTTGGTTGCCGTCAATGGAATTTGGTTGTCAGTGGTTGGTAGCGGATTCAGTTCCATGTTGGTTGCCGTCAATGGAACTGGGTTGTCAGTGGTTGGTAGCGGATTCGGTTCCATGTTGGTTGCCGTCAATGGAACTGGGTTGTCAGTGGTTGGTAGCGGATTCGGTTCCATGTTGGTGGGTGGTTGTGGCACAATATGGTTAAATATCTGATTGTTCTCGATAATATTGCAAGCTTCCAAAATGTCTTGATCTTCGAAGTCAGAATCAAACTCACTCATTTTCCAATGCCTATAGAAAGAAAACAAAAAACAAAAGAAAACAATACATAGCACTGGTCTTGAAATATTTGTGTATGAGACATTATTTCTCAATTTACAATCTAACTTCATGTATCATATATTTACTCTTATGTAAACTTTACTTGTGTTTATGAAAGATGTTTATGTTAAAACCACAAGTCTCACCCATGTCATTTACATACTATTTTATAGCAAAATTAACAAAAAATCCCTGCGATTATCTGAAAACAACAAAGAGCACACTAAAAGTTAACGAACACTGATTTGATAATGACTTAAACATAAAAATCCGTTATATAAATCATCAGACGTGTTGTTGCGTCGTAACTTTATAACAATATAAGAGATCAATTTTCAAAAATTAGTAAAATAACAGATAATTTAATTCAATTTACAGTTTTACTTACCTTAAACGTATTTATGTTGATGAAAATAATTTGGACTATGATATTTCCGTTGTAAGACGTTTGTGTAGTGGGGTTTATCTTCGACGCCAGGACCAAGTAATGACCATTAGTATAAGCTGACTGGAATTTAGCCCGGGGATCAGATATAAACATCCTGGGCCATAGAAGGCTAGCACCAGTTAACATCATCTGGTGCGGGGGAGCGCTTATCTCTAATCGTAAACACAAAAAGCCAGCACATCTCAAATGCTTATCAGTTGTTACGGCTCTCCAATTAAAGGAGTCTGAAGCCTATATCAGAGTGCTAGAATGTGTTAATTCTCGATACGTTTTTCTGGCTTAATAGAATTGAGTGAAAACTTTAATGTTGTGTATACCAGCATGTAGTATTTTAGTATAGAACATCCTGGCGCAACACGAGAACAGAGTTAGGTGATAAGTTGTTTATGTCTTGTTGAATATCTTTTAAAATATACAATGTAGTACATAGATATTTTGGCGTAGGATTATATATGGTCATACAATGTTTTGAAAGTCATAAAGTCAATTTTAATATTTTACAAGATAATGTGTTCTGGCACTAACCCCTCGATTATTTTCTATATGAATGGAAGCAGCAAAACCCTTTCCATAATCATAAGAAGTCTCTGCTGAAAGTAAAGTGCGTTGTAGCATCATCCTGTAGCATCATCACTATCACTTAGTGATGATAAAAGTGTGGCACCCGTCACAAACAAAGGCAAGTTCACCTGAACAAACACTGCAACATACAATGTATGTTGAAAGTCAAAATAGAGAATTGCATAGGACATCATTTTTGTCACTGATGCGTCAAATTTGAAAAAAACCATAAACGCTGTAATCCTGATCAAACATCTTTTGAGCAAGAATTGCACCCAAAGGCTGGAGCTGCTGGAATAGGGCATGACAAAAAGGGGAAGTTGACTGTTGGAAAGTTGAATTTATCCCGCTTGTGATACAGTCTTGTGGATAGTTTGGTGTCACTCTTTATGCATACATCTAAATATGAAACAGATGAGGTGGGTTCTCTGGTCTCTTTTGTTTCTGGTTCAAGCGGGTCAATCAATGGAAGGAATTGGCTAATTGTCCATACTTTAACGATATCAGATCATTGATATACATAAAGCGAAATTCCGATTCGTATGCAGAAAGAGACAGATTAGCAAGAAGGGGACACAATTGGTGCCTACTTCTCGCCTACACGTCCGACCTATGCATATCGCTTCTATTGTCAAAACCATTGTCAAAATAATCGTTTTCATTTGAAACCTACCGACCTCCCTACCTGTCTCTCCGTGGTATTGCCTAATAACTACCTTCAATGCCGATATGTGGAGTAGGGGGCGGTGGGGAAGCATTCACCCGTCACGCCGAAGGCCAGTGTTCAATTCTTCACATGGATATAATATGATAATATAATGGCTGGTGATATTGCTTGATTATTGCTCACAGTTGCGTTAAAACATACTCATTCCCTATCAGTAGCGCTGGAAAACATTTTCGAAGTGAGGGTAAGTGCCTATGTATGTGTTGTTTCCGTAGTTTACACTTATTTGGTTCAATTTGAACCGTTTCGCTACCTTAATTCCTTAACAACAGTGTATTAATTAGATAGCATTTTAGAAAGACTGAACAAAGGCGTCCAATGTCAATGCGGTTTTGTGTTTCGTGTTTTAGAGGGTCCAGCTGGAGCTGTTCTCCCCGATTCAAGTGTACTTGGCAGGAGAAGGAGAGAAATAAAGTACAGCCTGAGAAGACCTCCTACTAACTGAGACATTTCACAATATGAAAGCACCTGGCAATAGAAAGATGATCAGTCACCAGCCATTATTTCGTTTTGATCAATTGCATCTATTTAAATTCACGTAAAACTGTGTCAGTTGTCAGGCAATGTGTTACATCTATACCACTTTGGTTAAGCACCTGTGTGGCTTGCAGTACAACACTGCAATCAGATGGTGTTATTGATGACATGAGTGTAGCATTGTATCGACATTCTAAAAGGCAACAAAACAAAATAAAATTATGATGAATTATGAATGTCTCATTCCTTATAGAAAGTGACGGACGATGACACAAACCTTTACTCCTTTGGGTGTTTTTTATTTACTTGAAAGCAACAGAGCCTCTGCACTTGTACAAAGAAAGCAGAGAGAGTTCAAAATTAAGATACATATCGCCCCTTAATGTAAAGTATTCTTATAAACAAAGTTTGATTGGAAATATAGGATAGTTCTTTTGCTATTTTCACGTTTTTATTGTTTTGCTCGGTTTCTTGCAATTATTCGTAATAAGCGACAACGTGAGAAACTGACTTTGCTCAGACCTGAGAACAAGAGGGGCTATGATAAGAATGGCAGGCTCGTTATTGAGGACACGCCAGCTTCTTTATGGTGGGTGATGAGCATCAGTTGTCGGCTCCGGTCGCAGATCGCTACTCAAGTTAAACATCGTCAACTGTGGATCATGAGCGGGTGCTGCCGTCAAGGTCGAAGGTTATGCAAAAGCATATCTTACATTGCAAGGAATATAGAAGATTTATTTATCAAACTGACCGCGTTGGCTCTGTTTCTTTTGTACCTGAACATGACATTGTTGATTTATATGGTACTCGGGAGGTATACTTAGGATGAAATATTCACTGGTAAGATATGTTATTGACGTTCGATACAGAGAACTTGCTATTACTATTCTGTTGGATAGAAGTATGTTTGGTTTCAGAAGAGCTACATTATGTGTGTTTACATATATGCAGCCGGAGAAATCGACCTAGTGTGACAACAAAGATAGACAAAAGTGGAAAGAGATTTTGCCGTATTTTTTACTGGAAGAGTACCCAGCTGTTTCTATCATTGTACTTGGATTTGTTTGTTTATTTGTTTGTTGTTTAACACCGCACTCAACAATATTCCAGCTATATGAATAAATCCAGCTGTAAATAATCGAGTCTGGACCAGACAATCCAGTGGTCGACATCATGAGCATCGATCCACGCATTTGGGAAGATTTGGAACTGACCATCAAATCGGTGACTGTACATTTATTGGGTATTCAGTGAGTGAGTGAGTGATTTTGGTTTAACTCCGCTTTTAACAGTATTCCAGTTATATCGCGGCGTGTCAGCTTAATGTGGGAGGAAAGCCTGAACTGATGCAGGCCTCAGACGTTTACCACTTCGATGAAACCCACGAGCACGGGTATGGTGCTGTCAAACCTAGCAACATAATCGGGCCCAAGGGACGCAACTCTGCACAGCGAATCGCGGCGCCTTAGCCGACTCGGCCATCCGCGCCCCCTATTGGACATTTTGGGTGTAGTGTGATAGATTACTGTTTAGCATCGAGTGACATGTTCCCCGATGATGATGAATGTCTCTGTAAAAAAACATGAACGGCGCCATTATTTAGTTCAGAAGAATCTCAAGATAACTCCTACCTTTTAAAGTATAACAAAGTTTGCACGAATACAGATAACTGTGTGGAATCAAGAATAACCATTTTGCACAATGTAAAAGGAGTGACCGAGAAAATGCAGCGGCGGTAGACTAAACGTTTCTGTGACATCATAAAGCGTGTGTGTGGACGACCGCAACGACCAAACCCTATTGATATACAAGACTGGGTAAAATGTTACTATCGATGTACAGTAATGTGAAGACTTACAACAGAATATCTGGTATATTTGTTGCTCCATGGGTGTGAGGCAAGGGTGTATGCTTTGTCACTTTTTGTTTCAGTTTTTTTAAATAAACGAATTGGTTACTGAAATGGAACACAATTGTCGTTTTGTTGTTAAGTTACACTCGGAATGTATTTATATTTGTTTACTTCTATTTGCGGAATACCTTATTGTATTTGGCAATACTCTCAACAACAATTGTAGCAATAGATTACTGAGGTCGAATGCTTAAATAATATGGCAATTCAGACAAGAAAGGTGTTCATGGTCCTGTTAATTAGTATAAATTCCTCGAAACCATACTCGCCTCACGTTTACTTCAAATGTTTAGATACAAAGATAACTACAATACTTATAAACGGGGCTGAAATTCGGGGTTCAGTACATAGAACCGAGTCTGGCAGATGTTCTATTCAGTCGCTCGCTGTTTTGAAATGTGTCAAATATTGACTGTCTCTTTATAATATGCAGGAATCTCGTTTACCCCCCAAAATGTTATAATATGTTGGTTGTATATGGAATACTTCAAGGGACAGTGTCGCGTTGTCACATTGTCGCCCTTGCAAAACAAGCAAAAAGTGTCAAAACTAGCCAAAGCGCGACATTGCGACAATGCGACAATTGCAACGCGACATTTCGGCCATTTGTCGCATTGTTGCGTTGTCGCATTGTAAGATGTCCGAAAGGCTTATGTGACGTATTGCCATCCGTCTTTGTACGGCGTTAGTCATCTGTCATGCGAAATCTATTCACACTATGATTTCCGTGGTCCCAAGTTCCGTGGTGAGCTTATGTCAGCTCCCACAGAAGATCGAATGGTCAGTTCCTAATTATAACTGACATGAAATACTCTACAGGCCGTATGGCTTATGTTCATTTTCGATATTTTCAATCAACAATGGTCTTACTACAGGATATGCTAAACTGCTATAGAAAAGGTATAGACTTCATGTCCGAAAAATATAAACTTTAAGTGGCTTTATTTGACTCGGCACGGTACTTGGGAAACCTACGGGTTTTTTTTAACCAAACATCATTGCATTGGAATTCATTTCGTTTGCAATAGCATTTGATACTGGTGTATGCTTAACTGTCATATCCGCAATACTGCAACAAAATGCCCATTATTTTATGCCTAAAAACTCTGTTAATGGACCACTCTAACAACCCAACATCATCTACAACTTGGTCTGATCTGCTTGGGCTGAGTCCTCCTTTCCGTCTTTACGGTATTAGGATAGTAACGAGGTTACCTTGCAGAGTAACATAACCTTTGTAAAACGGTAAGTTTGATAAAAATCGGTTAAAGGGGTTAGGGGTCATAAACCCTTTTATTAAGCCTGAATATAACAACCAGGTGGTCGTTGTAGAGAGGGATTCTAAACATAATTAGTCATTTGCACATCTAGACAAAGTGACGATCAGTTAAATCTGCGAAGTTCCATGAAAGTTCGATAAGTATTATTTCATAGTGATAATACTTAATGTAAAAAGAATATTATCTATCACTTCAACCCTTAATGTAAAAAAAATTACATTAAGAGTAATTTTTACATTAAGGGTTGTAACACAGCCTTTCTAGGATGAACCTGCTGAGAATACATTGACTGTCTATTTGTAAGAGTATTTTTAAGAGCGAATGTTAGCTTTTCAAAGGTGGTAAGTGACGATACATATTATCATAGATCAAAAGTCACGAAAAGCAGAAGGCAACGATTGTTTGTATTAAAATGTAAAGGGGTTTTAATGTTATTAAATGTGTGGACTCAGTACCAGATGTACTTTACATTTACTTAAAGGTCGTGTTTGCAGTCAACAAATGTTGCAAACGAATACGAATTATGTACCCTGGTCCTTATAACATACTATGATTTGAATCATTAATAAACCCACCAAGCAAATTTTCTTTCAAATGAAAATTGACCATATACACCTAAGTCACTAGCAATCATATACAATTTGATTGAAGGAGCAATTTGTTATTTTGTAAAATGAAACAGTTTTGCCTTTTCTGAGGTTGACCTCTGGAGCTGAATAAGAGAATAGTAAGATAGAAGAGTCCAAACGTCGATCATGCATTGACACTGTCAGTACAGCTGCATGTTCAATTAAGTGAGGCTGAATGTTAAAAGTATTGAAGCAGTGTCGGACGCACCTACTCCATATGTCGGCCCACCTGTACAAATGTTCATGTGTGTGTATTTGCATGAATGCCACTGTTACAATGGTTTTATGATAGCTGATGTACCAACACACGATGAGGCATCCTAAGTAGTGTGACCACATAGTTAACGTGGATAACAATATGAAGTGCATTACTCCTACAAACGTGATAACTATACTATATTACACATTTGTATTGGACACATGTACTTGAATTCCAATATTATTTAAATTAAAAAAAGCTATCTTTGTGCGCAAAATATGCTGAGTGGTATTATCATAAAACGGCAGAACTCGTACATCCGAACTTGTTTACAGTACTCTGCAGGGTATTACAATCAGACATAAAGCCAAAATGACAACTTAATGATTTTTTATTGGTTTGTAACTTATGTGTTATGTACATCACTGCATCCAAGTAGTTTCCTACGCCTTGACAAACTCTTTTCACTGTATGTTTGGGCAAGTGTGCCAGCAAACAATTTTGTAACCGATCCCTTATGCGTATATATTGGTTTTTTTTACAAATTGACTGAAACATACGTCCATTGTTTTGTTACGATAACGAATTCCAAACATTGATATGTGACTGAAAATGATAGGATTAAAAAAATACGAAAGACAAAGTGCATTTCTTTTTTGTCAATCTGTTAAATAAACGGGCAGATTTTTCAGTCAAAATGCAAAATAACTGAAATATTTAGAAATGGTCAATTAACATCCGATAGTCGACAGAATACAATAACCACTTATGACTTCAAATAAATCGAATGTTTATTTTTTAACATTATAGATGCCATGATTTAATATCAAGTTAAGAAACACTGAAATGATATCTAAATCAATCTCAGTCACGATATTATCCAAGAAATCAGAAATATGGCAAAGCTTTCACTGCAGGGATACCCGTTTTAGTAAACTATAACCATCAGAGGTATTTAAAGAAAAAATACCAACATCCGATTACCTTACACCGTTTGTTTTATCTGCAATTTAGGTTGAACAAATTAATTAACATGCGCCCTTCGTTATATCGAAATCTTTATAGATCACGGGTAAAGAATCAGAGATGCGTATAAATATTGTCTCAAAGTTTATTTACGCTGTCCAAAGAGACAATACTCCAGTCTCTTTTGACGCTTAATTGCGTTAGCCGGCAAATCGACTCACGGCAGCGAGGGAGCTCAAGCGGGTAGTGTTAGACAGCCGGGTAGAAGCCATAGAGTAGTGCCCATTTAAGGGCTAAAACAAGGATTGGTCTGCTCGGAGTCAGTATAGTGCGTCTGAGTTGGTATTCATGTTAAACTACTTGCATGATATCTCAGTGAGCTAGCACTGTAAAATCGGCATTAGTCCGGACTAGTACAAGCAGCCGCAAAACACACACGTGCATGCACGTCGCAATTTAAACGCAATAATCTTGAACGCGACGTTAAACCCCCATTTCACATGGGAATTTTATGTCATGTATTAGATGAATAAAAAGTAAGGCTATACAAAATGGAAAACTATTTTGTGGAAATACATCTTAATTTTTTTTTAGAAAAAGTTGGTTGGTTGGTTTGTTGTTTAACGCCGCACTCAGCAATATTCCAGCTATATGGCGGCGGTCTGTAAGTAATCGAGTCTGGACCAGACAATCCAGTGATTAATTTCATGAACATCGATCCACGCAATTGGGATTGATGCTCATGCATCAACCAATTCAGCGAGCCTGACCACCCGATCCCGTTAGTCGCCTTTTACGACAAGCATAGTCACCTTTTACGGCAAGCATGGGTTGCTGAAGACCTATTCTACCCAGGAATCTTCACGGGTGTCAGAAAAAGTAGTCAAAAGATACCACAGTCAAGAGATACCACAAAAGTTACTGTCAGCAATGACATACATTTATTTCTACATAAATACTACAGACAAATCATAAATCAATAAACATGCCAAAGTTCAGCTTCCTTAGTTTGGTAATGTCTCTGGAGAATCTGTTTACAGAATCAAAGATGCATCTAATAAGAATTACAGAGCAAGATTTAGACATGACTAGAACCTACTATTGTAACAAACATCCACATACTCGATTATTTAGAGACCGCCGTCATACCGCTGGAATATTGCTGAGTGCGGCGTAAAACAACAGACCAAAACACTATTTCAGATGAATCTGGAGGGGACAGGTGAATTAATAAGCCGACTCAATAAAGACCCATCCTCTCTGAATATACATACTAGTTAGCTTGTATTGTCATATGTAACCCGATGATGTTGATTTCTGAGGCAAGGCTGTACAGACGCCGTGAAAATTGATCATATAGAGACCAGCTGTGCTCGTATCTGTTAAGGTGTTAAGCCGATCGCTATGTCCTTCGAATAATGATCCAACCATTGCTGGATTATATTAAAAAACACATTGTCCCCGAAAATTCTTGAAAAAGATAATTATGCTTTAGACTGTTGAAAAAAAATAGAAATTGGCTGCCATAACAAAATACATTGTTGCAAGATGTTATTCTTCAAAACGGAATTCAAGCTCATAGTTTTAAATAAATAAATATCAGGTTGTGTAGCTGTAGCTGAAAGAATATTTAATCCCGATACAAAAATTCCAGCCCCAAAATGACTTACCCCTCCCAACACACACACACACACACTCTCACGCACGCGCTCGCATACCCAGAATATCAATAATATGTCGGTCCCACAGATAGAACGGAACTGCCGTTTTTTCTTTCCCCACTGAATATATACATTGACATGTAAATCTATAATGAATTGGGTTTTTGTTTTAATCATTTTCATCATTAAACACAGTGTCGGTCGTATGACAATATTACTGGGATTTTGAGACCAGATATTGTTGCAAAGCCAGATATTTTTTATTAAAACTATGGCGGACAGTTTCTTTTTTTCAACAATATAAAGCACACCCCTTAGATTAACTGACTTTAAACTAAGTGGCAAAGCACATGCAGAAGTTCAGTTACCATTTGAAGTCACAAATGTGTAGTGAGCTGGAAATTATTGGTACAACACACAAACTGAAAGGTAGGTCAACCAGCTGTCCTCCAAAGCCTGCCTGCCCTATAGGAAAGTTTGTGATTTTTCCTACTGACAAGGCCTCCAAATACATAACCATTCCATGTAAGCATCACCATATGAGTTGTTTTGAACTTAGTATACGTGCCATATCAAATAAGGTGAAGTGAAATACGGTTTAACGTCGCGTTCAAAATTATGACACTTATTTTGCGACGTGCATGCACATATGTTTGTGTGGCTGCTTGTAGTAGTCCGGGCTAACGCCGATTTTATAGTGCCAGCCCACTGAGATAACATGAATACCAAGTCAGACTCAGCATATTGACCCCGAGTCGACCAGTCCTTGCTGAGCGTCAGGCAGGGTAACCACCATCTTCCGTACGAAGATATATATTGCCGCGTCAAGCAAATGTACCACAAAACGACAATCGCAAAGATTACAACTAAGGAAGGATATTCTTTATATTCGCAGAAGATAATTATTTCAGACAAGTGAAATTAATGCATGTGGATTTTACAAAACTACCGAGAGCATGTGTAAGTTATTAGCAAAGTACCTAACTACTTCGTGGATGAAACATTGCACACGTTGGCATCTCCCAGCCAGGGCAGTCATTCGATCACACAGTTCCACCAAGCTATCGCCAATATGATACAGAGCAGTCGAACATCATAAAAATGTATATATGTAAGGTGATTTGTGTCTTGGTTTCCTAAATGTAATACATCAGTGTCAAACTGTAACCCATCATGTCTGTATCAATTGCGTTGTTACCTTGTAGCCAAATGATATACCAATACATTGTGTCAACCTGTTGCGATACAACAATGTGTATATATATATATGAGACCAACCTGACGAAACACACAGAAACATCAGAACATCAGAAGGACAGACCAGTCACAACAGAGTACAGGTAGTATGGAACGTTTTACCTCTCCATTCAACGTTATATAATGTAACATGTTTATGTAAATTCGTGCATTTGTCCGCCAAGAATTTGTACATGATAATTCCAATTAATGTTAACTTCAGTAAGATGTACTATGTTTTACACTCCTTTTATGAACATATTTGATTGGCGGTGTTGTCGGTAGTGCAGGACATGCCTACTCTTTTAACGAACATCTGCGGGTCATCACTGATTTTCGGTGCTCCATTCATATAATTTTCACGGCCTTTTACGCCGAATGGAATCTGTTCCGGCAGATAATCGAGACAATATTCTCTTGTGTTGATATGTTATAATCGAGACTCAATATTCTCTTGCGTTGATATCTACAATTACATATGGTTACCTTTAATTCACAGAAGATGACAGCCAAAATTTGTCTCCTCCTCTTTGGAATACTGTCATACGCAAATGCATGTGAGTTGTTTACCTTATTATTTCTCCGTCAAACATCAAAAGCAGATGCATGTGAGTTGTTTAGCTCATTATTTCTCCGACAAACATCAAAAGCAAATGCATGTGAGTTGTTTAGCTCATTATTTCTCCGACAAACATCAAAAGCAAATGCATGTGAGTTGTTTAGCTCATTATTCTCCGACAAACATCAAAAGTAAATGCATGTGAGTTGTTTAGCTCATTATTTCTCCGACAAACATCAAAAGCAAATGCATGTGAGTTGTTTAGCTCATTATTCTCCGACAAACATCAAAAGCAAATGCATGTGAGTTGTTTAGCTCATTATTCTCCGACAAACATCAAAAGTAAATGCATGTGAGTTGTTTACCTTATTATTTCTCCGTCAAACATCAAAAGCAGATGCATGTGAGTTGTTTAGCTCATTATTTCTCCGACAAACATTAAAAGCAAATGCATGTGAGTTGTTTAGCTCATTATTTCTCCGACAAACATCAAAAGCAAATGCATGTGAGTTGTTTAGCTCATTATTCTCCGACAAACATCAAAAGCAAATGCATGTGAGTTGTTTAGCTCATTATTCTCCGACAAACATCAAAAGTAAATGCATGTGAGTTGTTTACCTCATTATTTCTCCGACAAACATCAAAAGCAGATGCATGTGAGTTGTTTACCTTATTATTTCTCCGACAAACATCAAAAGTAAATGCATGTGAGTTGTTTACCTTATTATTTCTCCGTCAAACATCAAAAGCAGATGCATGTGAGTTGTTTAGCTCATTATTTCTCCGACAAACATCAAAAGCAAATGCATGTGAGTTGTTTAGCTCATTATTTCTCCGACAAACATCAAAAGCAAATGCATGTGAGTTGTTTAGCTCATTATTCTCCGACAAACATCAAAAGTAAATGCATGTGAGTTGTTTACCTCATTATTTCTCCGACAAACATCAAAAGCAAATGCATGTGAGTTGTTTACCTTATTATTTCTCCGACAAACATCAAAAGTAAATGCATGTGAGTTGTTTAGCTCATTATTTCTCCGACAAACATCAAAAGCAAATGCATGTGAGTTGTTTAGCTCATTATTCTCCGACAAACATCAAAAGCAAATGCATGTGAGTTGTTTAGCTCATTATTCTCCGACAAACATCAAAAGTAAATGCATGTGAGTTGTTTAGCTCATTATTCTCCGACAAACATCAAAAGCAAATGCATGTGAGTTGTTTAGCTCATTATTCTCCGACAAACATCAAAAGTAAATGCATGTGAGTTGTTTACCTCATTATTTCTCCGACAAACATCAAAAGTAAATGCATGTGAGTTGTTTACCTTATTATTTCTCCGACAAACATCAAAAGTAAATGCATGTGAGTTGTTTAGCTCATTATTTATTCAATATATATTTTAGCTTACATTTTCACAATCGTTTAAGTTCAATGCGCTTACAATGCATACCAGAATGGGGGAACCTGCTTTCCTTAGAAAATAAAGTTGAGTGGCATTTTTTGCTGTAAGTATCATTTCAAAGACACTTACCAGCACAACAGCAAAGAAAATTTCAAACAGGTATATATTTTAAGTTACAGCTGCAGATCATAGATAGAGCATGCATTGTAATTGACATTTTAGTCACAGCGAAGAGCATCAACCAGCTCCAGGATATATATTATATATATTTTTTTTATGTAACGCCGCAATCAGCAATATAACAGCTATATGATGATGCTCTGTAGATGCATAATGACCCAACACACAGTAAATAATAAACATACTTCCAAACCAGCAATTCATTGATTTAGCAAGACGTTACCGTATTATGCAAGATTATCACATTGCCCTACAGGTGAAACGTCAAATAATGTATATCATATTTGTCCATCATTACATTTTTACATCATTATCAAATATCGGTCATATACCTGAAACCGAAACAAAGCGTGCTGTGAGTTTCCCAGTTTGCCAGCTAAATATTATGTGACTTCATTGTTATTTAGCAAACAGATCTGACATTTTGTGACTCACTGCTTTGTTTGTATTCAGATCCAATATGCTACACACGAATTTGTCTAAACGGAGCAACTTGTGACGGGAATTTGGGTTGTGTGTGTACAGCAGGGTATACTGGAAAAGTGTGTGAAAGTAAGTATGAAACATGTGTTGTACATCTGTTTCAGGCAGTCCTACCCATGTCCTCGAAAATAAAATGTTCCGCTGAACATTACACTGTGTATGGGTTGGTTTTGTTAATGACGATATCTGTCGTTAGAGACAATGTCACTGAAAACACGAACTGCAAATATCAAAATACAGAAAACTCAGTAACCTGAATGCCAACGAGACCAATGTGATATCTTGGTAACCAAAGCCAATCAAAATCATGGGAAATTGAAGATGAATCATTTTCTTCATCATCTTTACCAGATGTTGCAAACTTAGAAAGTGGGCGTCACTGTTATGGCATTGTACAATTACTGCTACTATTGATTTCAACTTCCATTATATTAGCTCGTGTACTGTCATAACCTTGCATGTTATATCTGCTGTAATCTTCAGATTCTATCGTCTATCTTAGTTAGCCAAGTGACCAAACTAAATCCAGATTTCTGGCCAACTTACCTAGTCCTCTTCCACAGAACGAGGTTGTCTATTTAAGTAAAACTTCGATTGTGGTATCTATGTAATTAAAAACACATACATTGAAATGGCAAATTATCATGATCAGGTTTACCAAGGTGTTTTTCTATTTAAGCTTCTCTCAGGGATTGCCTGAGTGCACCCCAAGACTGCCACCTCAAAGCTTCCTGTGTCAATACTAACGGGTCCTATGAATGCCAGTGTTTACCTGGCTATAACGGAGATGGAAGATCTACTTGCAAGGCTGCTGGTACGTAGCACTGATGCATTACTTGTGGCTACATCTGATGATGCGAAAGGTTACGTTTTATACATAAACTATATCATGCAAACGTTTTTAAACAAGACTTTTCATTTGACACGTCCAAACACCTTGCGATCTGATAAGCCGAACGATCATTTACTTTTGGCGTCTTTCTCTGCTCTTACAACATACAGTCCATTTTGACAGAATGAACGAAATGTAGCAATCGTCCCAACTGACATCCAACCCTCAATATGAACTGGAATATATCAGTCTTCATGTAACATAACAGGTAAGGAACAGTGTCTGATGATTGTTTTATAGTGTACTTGATTGCAGAAGGTTTAAAAAGCCCTTCTGCCAGTGTCTCTAACAGCGCCCCCTTGTGATTTCCTTTACAGACAGATGCCTTGAAACGCCTTGTCAGAATGCTGGGATATGCACAAGTAATGCGACCAACTTCTATTGTAGATGTCTGCTCGGATATTCTGGTCCTTTGTGTGAAAAAAGTATGTAATAGTGCGCCAGTGAAGAAGATGTCCCTAATATAAACCTTTGGTCTACACTTGTAGATATACAATGTGTACAAATATGTACATACATGTAACGAAGAAATCTTTTCATATTTTGTAATGCCAGTCGCATATTAATTGGTCACAAACTGTCAATCATCAGCCCCTCTCCATCTTACAACGTTCTTACAGCTGCATCCCAAAAGTTTGTTCACCTCAGTAAGACATTGTAATCAACCAACTTTGGAGTGAAATACAGAGAAAACAACAAACATTTTTATCATTTGATCATTTTTATTCTGAAAGTACGTTCAATAATGAGTGTGTCCACCTTTAGCAGTGACGACTGCATTCACTCTCTGGGTCATGGATCGGTATAACCGTTGGAAGACCTCTTTTGGCAAAGAAAACCAATGTTTTTGGAAGGACTTCCAGAGCTCCTCACTCGATGTTGGCATGTCCTTGGCAACACGTTTTCCGATCAAGTCCCAGCTATTTCAATAGGATTCACGTCTGGGGAGTTCCCAGGTCATGGTAATACTTGTACTCCCTTTCTTGCCAGGAAATGTTGGGTAGATCTTGAATTGTGTGCTGGAGCGTTGTCATTTTGAAATATGAAGCCCTTGCCTGGAAACATGAGACAGTTGCCATGTTCTACAATATCATTGATAATGTAGTTTTGATAACGTTCACTATTCAATGTCCCGGGGACTTTCTTGAAGATTCCTGGACCATTTTGTGAAATAACCCCCCAAACATGAACCTGGGGTGGGTGTTTGACGGTGGACTGAACACATTGTTTACTGAATCTTTAATGAATAAATCTTCGAACCTTCATACGTCTGCGATTACTGAAACACCTGAAGATGGATTCATCTGAAAATAACACCTTCTTCCAATGTGGCAGACCAAAACGTCGAACCTGTTTTGCCCATACAAATCTGTTTTTACGTTGACGTTTATTCAAGAGGGGTTTACGGCAAGGCACATAGCATTTTAGACCAAAGAGCATAAGTCGTCTTGAGATTGTCATCCTACTGATTGTTCTACCCAGTGATTGCTTTAATTTTCCATGAAGAATGTTGAGCGTTGCATACCTATCTCTTAGACATGCTTTGCGGATTATTCTGTCTTCTCGTACAGAAGTACATTTCGGTCTGCCAGATCTTACACGGTCGTTAACGCTGCCTGTTGTCTTGTACCTTTGATAGAGTTTAATCATTCCTCTAATTGACACCCTACATTCGTATTCTCTTCTCAATCTTCTTTTCACAGTCTTCTATGGAACCCCAAATCTCTCACTGATAGGTGACACATGGGAAAGTGGATACAAAACTTAAATATACATGTAAAGTTGGCAAATTTCGGTTAAGTTTGGTACATTTGCATATAAGGTTAGTATGCATATCTAAAAAAAACAATAGATTGGAAAATAAAATAATCTAAGGTATCAAAACACAGTACTTAACTTTAAGAAAGTGAAGTGAACAAACTTTTGGGATGCAGCTGTATACTACTGCTGTACGTATCATATCTATAAGTTGGCTTAAGGTGATAATCGTTTTTTTCCGTCACGTGTACGCAAATGATTAAGTTTATATCCTAACCGAAAAAGTGATCAACCTCTTTTTTTCTAGTATGTTTACTGTAGATTTCCAAATCAGCTCCATTTGGTTTGTTTTCTCACACATAACTGTTTTATCGACTTGCTACAGAACTACTGCGAAATTGAGTGTTTGAAACTAAATAATCTGATATTGGTCAAACAAAAAAGTGGTTGATGTTATGAGAAACGTCCGTTGCTGTTATGGTACAGACATATCAATGAGTAGTTTGATGGAAACAGATGGAATTTAGTCGCCCCATTTGATTGCTGGGGACCTATTTTAACTTGGGGCTTCACGAGACGACGAAGCAATTGTCTTATTAATAATCCTGATTCCCAAACATATCATTGCTGGAAATATTTACATACCGTGTTATCACATGTTATCTTTATAGAATGCGAGCAACAAAAAATGGACATTCTTCTCATAGAGGACGTCTCGTCATCAATCTCTAAAGAGGAATACAGGAAGATTAAGGACTTTGAAATAGAAATGGTCAGTTATTCCCACATAAACTCCAGCATTGTGAACGTGGCTCTGATGGTGTACGCAGGAAAGGCGAGACTGGTATTTCCCTTGAATGCATACAGTGACAACAAGACAGCAGCTGTTAACGCTGTTAACGCCCCACAACTAGTCGGCGGTTCTACATTCCTCGGCGATGCTATCAACCTGGCTGTATCCGATGTGTTTGTGCAGAGCAATGGCGACCGTCCAGATGCTGAAAATGTTGTTATCTTATTTACGGATGGCAAAAGTAGTAAGAAGTCAGCCATCGATAAGAACATTGGACGTCTGCTCACAGAAGCAGCTATTTACGTCGTTCCAATTTCATCAGATACTGACATGGTTGATATAGCCGAGGTAGCTGCAGCCCCTGATGAGGAACATGTCTTTTCTATGAGCAACCCTCTGGCTCTTGATGAAATCAAAGAAAGAACCATCTATGAGCACTGCGGACGAGACGTGGCCCTAATGGAATAGTCTTGAATCGGATGCGCTTTGTCATCATTAAAGAGAATGAAACGATCTGTAATGCTGTTTAAAAACAGTTGCGATGATAAATAATGTGCATATTACACTCTCATGATGTTGGTTTTCTTTGCTTAATAAACAATCCCCCAAAGGAGACATAGATATCACAACACTATCAGAACATGTTTTATCTCTTATTAACCCTTGGCGTTTGGTGAAATCAAGGGAAAAACATTTATGAACTGTGTGGAAAAGATGTTGGTCTTGCAGAACTGTCTCCAAGATGTATTATTTAAAACAAAAATGTCCCATGTGTCTAGCTACTTTAATACCAATGTCATATGCACTACCGGATGAATTATATCACTTACTGCTTGAAATATAACATATGCAATGCGCCTATAAAAACGGAAGTCCCATGTTACATCTCTAGCTACATTAACAAGAAGACTTACTTTTCTTACACACCTGTGGGTGAGAAACCTATTTGAGATAACTGGTATCAAGCATATGTGTGAGATCGAATTCCGGGCCAGTGATTGGCTACCTCATGGTGATGACCTGGGGGTCAGATGATGACGGACTACTTTCCTGAGTGTAAGTCATTCATTAGTTTCTCGTGCTTCGATCAGTCGAATGTTCACCTACGCCTGTATTGAACAACAGGACCGTGTAATTAATAATAAAAATAAACAAACTCGTCCTCGTCTGCGAGTTTGTTTGTTATTATTATCAGTTACATTATCTGTTGTTATGTCAACATTATCGTTTTTTCAGAGTGTAAACCCCCTGGATGCCACAGCGACACAAATTACTGAAAGTGACTGAAAGTTAGGTACATTGTAAATCTCGCCAAATCACAATTCACGGCGTTATATAAATATCTACTGTGTGTTTAGAAATCTAAATATCGGATATTTACTCGAAAAATTAAAGTAGAAAAATAGCATATTAGCGATCACGGGTATCAACTCACTAAAGATAATTCTGAAACGTCGCTGATAAGCCTAGAATCGTTTAGAATGTTTTGGAAAATACGCATACACGAAGGTCGAAGTGTAGGTTCCGCCATTTTGGATTGTGTATACAAAATGCCGGTTATGAGACGCCTATTCGATCAGGTATATTTCAAACTCAGCTGCTATACATGCATCCCTGAATTCCTCATACAGTTTCGAAACAATGGATAAATGGTCTTTGTCACCAATGCAAAGTGAAATAATGCAAAATAAATTAGGTATGGAAACGAAAACTGTGCTCGGGAAACTGTATTTGCTGAAATGTAAACAAAGCAAAATTCAGATTTTACACTGTGCACCTTTTTTAGAGGTACTTTCGTATAATTGTTGCATACATTGGCTCGATAACGCGTTTGAGAATATTCATGGGAAGAGTATCGTTGCCCTCATTATGGAATTACACATATATACATTACAATGATGTGGTAAATTCAACAGAAGCCGTAAAAGTTTCCGTCCTGTATGACGACATGACTGACGCTAAATCACGCACAACGATGACTGTAGTTATTTGCATTTCTGACTAATTCTCTTTGTTACATTGGAAAAAATGGTAAACAAATAACAGGACGCAGATTGTCAGAATGTTTCTGATTACTTACGTGACACATTTATGTGTATACGATCCCTCAATCAACGAAAACCTCCTCTGGAAATCCCGCGTACTGTTGTCAGTGAACACGCCATTTTATAAAAGTCGGTCACCGGTAGTGATGTCATACGGAAGTAAACATTGTTGTGCATATTTGGTAATTTCTTTAAGGTGCAAACTTTCAACTTGGCACCCAACGTGTTCGTGGTTTTTGTCTAGTTTGCATTATCATCATCGCCCTGATAATCCACAGATATGACGGAAACCTTTTTGTGTAGGGTCACATTATTTATGAGTAGTAAGCAGCCCATAGGATGACGTCACTTATGACTGTGGTGTTATGTATCAATGCGCTACTGCAATCATGAGAATAGACAAAATTCATCGGTTCGATGCTAAAAAGGTGCGATTTTAGGGTGTGTAAGAAACAGATTATTGCACTCGTGCCTGTCAGATACCATTGATCTTACAACTCGTTGTTACAAAGCGTATCTTACTTGCTTTCGCTTCGCTATCCACTTCTGGTTAAATAACAAATGCCGCCAATCCAGCTACTTTCATGAAAGAGGTATATGTCCTTGATATAGAACTTGAACTAATCCCATGCCTGATTATTTTTATGAGTACTATCTCTTACAAACACGTCATACAAAGGTGTTTCAGTACACATAACCTTAACGTAAAAGCCATACAAATTGAATGCCCCACCACAGTGATGATATATAACGATTGTCATCCTACCACAGTGAACACCTCTTGAGTTAACCCAAACATTACACATTTTCCGGTGCCAATTTGACCTTCAAAATCAATGACAAGAACTAACCATCATAAAACCTTGAACTTATATATCGTGGTACCACCCTAATGGTGACGTATACCCTGTTTCGTTGACATAGAGTAAATGCTTCTTGAGTGTCGATGATGATCTTAACCGGTCCATGAGTCAAATAAATTTCTCAGGGCTATAACTTGGATAGACGTGATATGCCATCCCTGTGATGACCATGCGCCGCGTGGTTTCGGAAAACATATCCCTTACGTGGTTATTTACATGGGCCTGCTACTATTACTACAATTGGGAAAAGATGTGCTGTCTGGCGAAAACGTATATAACGATCTGCGCGCACCTGTGTGCTCTATCTACGGACCACTGAAGCGATCCAGCCCTGGAAGGGATAATTGGAGGTGGGGTTGTAGAAAAATAGCAGAAAAAACCCACGGACCTGTTTTTTCTTGAGCAACAATAACTTTCTTAGCTTCTCGAAAAGTTGAACAAGGAACTCCTTTGAAAATACACTTGGATTCTAAAATTCCAGATTCAGCTAAATATTTAATTAAAGGAAAGTTTATTCTTTGATTTTAGTCTTTGCTGAAATAATTGGCCTAATAATCATGAATGTCTACGATTTTATGTTATTCGTACCGCGTTTAAGTTTATTATTTCAATTTGTTATTAATTCCTAAACTTGTAAATACCTGATGTGTGTGTTGGCTTGTATTTATCTTTATGTAGATACAACATAAATTTAAATAACTGATATTGATTACTCAGAGACCATACAATATAAATAATACCATATTATAGCTAAAAAGGATAGAAATATCATTAAACCGCCCACATGCGGGCCACTGTAACTTGTTAATGCCCTCATATTGCTTGACGACGGGCCATTATCACGACCGTTATTAGGTGGCGTCATAGGGTAGGGATAGTGACGTCACGTTTAATAGTGACGTCTTCTGATTTGTTCTATGACATTTCCATATTTTTTAAAGGGGGTCAGATACATTAGTGTTGATTGCAGTTAATGTTTAAAAACCGATATTGTTATTTATTCTTATTTGAAAACAAATTCCATCCATTTTGGCTATAATAACGGCAACGCTATTTTTCAGGGCATTATCATTTGCAGAAGCCCTCTGTCTTTTCAACTGCCCTCCTTCGTCGGGCAGTTAATGGAAGACCTCGGGCTTCTGCAAATGATAATGCCGCGAAAAAATAGCGTTACCCTTATATTAAAGTAACACTTTTACAAAACCCATCTGTTTATGTCAACACTTGTGATCATTGAATTTTGTTGTTTTAGAGTGTATGCAACACAAATTGTTTATGAATACAGAATATATCAAAATGCTATATTTTAAGTGTGTGACGAATCAAGACGAAGATAAATACGCAAAACAGATATACACAGAAGTATGAACCACTGAGCAAGTAAATGTAACGCTGTGTGACAATGGTATGTCAAATGAGTTTTGTTTGTATTCATATTTCCCTCTCAAATTGTTTGATAGTCATTCACTCTCCCCAGTTCAAGCCTCTGTCTGTGGATGTCCCGCTGCACAAGTGCAATGTCCTTCGGGTGTGGCATCTCACTGTCCTCTTATATACACTGACTTGATCGTGGGGGGCACGGGTGGCCCAGTCGTCTAAGGCGCCGCAATTCGCTGTGCAGAGTTGCGTCCCTTGGGCACGCCAGAAACCTATGATTGTGGGTTCGAATCCCGGTTCGCCACGATTATGTTTCAAGGTTTGTCAGCACCATACCCGTGCTCGTGGGTTTCACCGAAGTGGTAAACGTCTGAGACCTGCATCACTTCGGGCTTTCCTCCCACATTAAGCTGACACGCCGCGATATAACTGGAATACTGTTAAAAGCGGCGATAAACCCAACTCACTCACTCACTCACTCACTCACTCACTTGATCGTGACATCCTTTCATGTTCTCCTAGCTATATAGACCACACCAAACACTAATAATCATCTAAAACAAACGCAACACAATATACACTGGAACGGCTGTGAAGAACACGGCAGTTTATTTACGTCACTCCATATACCATTATTACATATGTTATAACAAATAGAATATAACATATCGAAACATACAGATGATAACGGTGGCTGAAGCCCGACACGCAAAACCAGAGATACAATTTTTGTGAATACAAAAAGCTCTGGAACCGTGTTCTCCCTACGAATGCAACAGCACCAGTAGGTGGGGAGTATACAGTATTTGAATTACTCTTTACACACGTCAAACATACTTTTACAAATACAAATTATACACAAAAATCCTTATTTTACTCATCTAACATGGGTCACACATACCCAATACAGCAGCATCATAATGGTTCTGCCAACCGAACATTTCCAAGACCAAGTATTCTAATGGCTCTGCAGCCTACCGTACATTGTATAGCCAATGAATTGCAAACATATATACAAAGTATTCTACAGGTTCTGCAGCGTCAATACACATGTGATAGTAAACACAATTATACCAATAAGTATTATAACAGCTCTCCAGCATCATCAACATACATGGCCAGTCACCAGAGACAGATGACCATAACAGAATGTGGCCTCACCGCCACACGTCCACATCTAAA